TTTAGATACTTCAGTATCAAAATACAATATTAAATTACAAAAAGCAAAGAGCCAGGTCAGATTTAACTGATATAATACATATATTTGTAGTTGGTTGCCATAGGTTAATTTATCCCTAACATATGCTATGTCATTTAGAAAGACATAAGATAAAGTCTCAGAAAAAGATGGTTTTTTCAAGAATAAAACCAAATTTTATTTTATGTTTCAGCTGTGATGAGCTACAAAAGACATTTCTTCTTTGCCTTGATTCCTATCATTGTAATTATTCTGGCAATGAATCAGTTCTTCGAAGGGCATACAATGACGTTAGGGTTATTGAAATGTAGAACGAAAGTTGATAATGGAAATAATGATAGCTATAAATTGTTGTGGAATAATTTATCTCTGTCAAAGCAAGCGACATTCAACATCAAAGACTTCCTAACATTAGATCTAGCACACAATCCAGAAGAAACTAATAAACTTTCTATATTGCTTACAAAACGGTCAGATGTAATTGACGAAGCTCAGAGAATTCACATGAATATTTTCAAGTCCCTGTTGGGCGGGTATAAATATGCAATGTTATTCGATTATTCTCCCTCAGAAAACAAAGGTGACTCGGCGATTAGTGTTGGAGAAATATTGCTTTTGAGGAAACTCAAAATCGAAATTGTGTTTGCATGTAGAAATTTTGCTGCTGCGGATTATCAGTTTGAAAGAGCTTACAACATCAGTAAAACATATACAAGTAAAGATCTTGTCATTCTTTTTCATGGTGGCGGAAATGTCATTGGTTGGCATGAGGCAGACGTTGCTCGAGGTAAACACATAGCAAGATTTATGCAGTTCAATATTGTCATGTTTCTACAAAGTATTTTGATGATGGGAGGTGATTTCCTCATAGAATTTTGCCAGAAAATATATGCATCTCATCCGAGACTTACGTTTCTATGGCGAGATAAGGTATCTTTCCGGCTTGGCAAGAAGCTCTTCCCTAAGGTACGTTCGTTATTTTCACCAGATATTGCCTACCAGATCGGTTTCGTTCCTCGCTTCATGCATCCAACGTTCGATATACTTTGGATAAAACGCACCGATAAAGAGTCTCCACACTACAATACACCTCTAGCACCAGAAGGATATCGTATGCATGTTTGTGATTGGTTAATGTGGAAAACCCCGCGTGGGGACTCGCCAATGGAAAACATTTTTTTTATGACAACCAATGGAATGATGTTTTTACAGAGAGGTCGAGTAGTTATCACTGATCGTCTTCACAGTCATATTCTATCAACACTTCTCAATATCCCCCACGTATATATTGATAACAAACAACGTAAAATATCTAACTATCACACCACATGGACTGCTGGCTTAGATAATGTAGTTTTAGCAAATTCTACTATTGACGCAGTTGAAAAAGCAAAGGAATTGCTGATAAAACTTGATAAAGAATTACCTTCAGTTAAAGGATATTTCATATAGTAAGTAAGAAAAGACATTGCATTAGAGGAAAACAAGCTTACGATATGAACTTAACACTATAGTTAAAATGTATTATACAAAAATGTCAGTAACGAAAGAAACTTCGGCAGTTTAAGAAGTTATATGCACAAATAAAACAAGCAGAGATGAGAATTCTATATTTTAAAAATGTTTTTATTTTTGTATTAATAAACATGTACCAGGAATGTCTAGTGATATTTCTAAAATATATGATTGAAACAAAAAAGCATTCTAAAGGTCATCCATATCCCCTGTCTAAGTAAAACCTTTGACGGACCTTTAAGTATTACATTGACGTTAAAGAAACAACCTGGTTTTTGAGTTCTGCACATCATCTCATATTTGCTATCATTTGTTCCAAGTGATTTTGAAACTTTTTAAGCAAGCTAAAGGTTAATCAATCGTACACAAAAGTTGATTTTTATATTTTATCTGAAGGCATGGTCTTGGGTTAGCTACCTGTTTGTTGCGCTCCGTACATCGTTCAATAATGATGTTCAAAAGTGCCTAGGTATTTTTTAAAACTTTTCTTCGAAGCGGAGACGCAATGTTTATATATATATTTATTTTACCAATAAGAGTGTACTTTGCCTTGGGGGTAGCAACCTTGTTGCTGCACTCTTCAAGTCGTCTTGTCAATGAACAGTTATATTGTTGTGGAGCGGACACGAAAATGTTATAGACGGACATATTGATAGGCGGGATCAAATCCTATTTGACCTCCCCACTACGCGACAGAGGCTTAATAATCGATCCTCATTACATTGCAAACAGAAGATTATGATAAGCTTTTCATATACCTAGTGAATAGTAGCGACCTCTCGACCCTCAAACAAAACCAACAGCAATACCTTTTTACAAAGTTTCTTCTCTAAATTATTGAAAAATTGACGAATTATGACAAAATGTAAAATTATTTCGGCTTTTACATTAGCATTCACCATGGGCATAATGTCACTTTAATGTAAATGTTTTAACTTTATTCATAAAAAACAACAAACAAACAAACAAATCTCCCCACCAAAAAAAAAAAACAACAAACAATTATCGATTTTTTTCATAATCCTTTGTGCACATCTGTATTGAAAATAACAGGTAAAACACTGGACAACAATTCAGAGGGTCTCTCTTTGGCAATTAATATTAAATTCTTATTATTGAGCAGAAAATTTACGAAGTTTTTATCGTTTCAAAAGACTTAAACATATCGATGTAATTAAAAATTAGTGATCACTATACTGAAATTTATTTCACAACTTATTAAATATAAAAAATGAATTTCCAGCGTTTAAACAACGTGATGATCCAAAAGAAATCATTATCGGACCCAATCTTATCAATTTAGCTTCGTTTCCATTTCCAGGGTGCAAAACATTCGTTTTTAATGCATATCTCGCCCCCCTTAGCCTCGTTAAGTCCAAAACTATCTATTTAAAATCCATGTCGTACCCCATCTAGCCTCAATTTCAATTTCATGGTAAAATATATATCAATTTCTTGTCCAATATAATTTACTATCGAAGTAAACACTGAATAATATCAATATTGTATTCAAAAATATGTAAATAAACATTTTTTTAAGTATAATTAGCATTTGATATGGGCTATTAAGACTCTAAAAGTAAAAGATATATCAGAAAATTATCGCCATTGATGTACCCGAAATTATATCAGAAAATTATTTAAATATACAAATACAACATATAAAACATAAATGACACATGACATGAATATATAAAATTACAAAATAATGGTTTATGTGATGTGAGAATGTTTAATGAGATACGAATTTACATGCATATGTTGCCAGTTATTTTTTTATTGATTTATATTATTATATCTGATGTTCTTTGCTCATGTTCAATTAATAACATTTTTAATGTTGTCAATGTTATACACTCAGAATGCTTGGATTTAAAATTATTATTTTTTCTTAAATCATCATCGTCATAGTGTCTCTCTGTATGGTATTTTTTTAATTTGAATATTTCTTAATATCTTCATGAGCACATCTGTGGATATTAGTAAATTCTAAATTTTATGATTTTCACACTGATATGTTGAATTCTGCCTGTCACTAAATTGGCGCGAGGACGATTGGCTCGCACTAAAAACTGACTTCCATAAAACAGACTCAATCAAATCAAGACTGCAATTTTACAAAAGGACGTTCTTCAAAGTTGCTATTTTATCTTTTAAACTCTTCAAAATTACAGGGTATAAAGCTATATTTTGTGAAATATTTTTTTATATAAAATCTATCAACAGTAAAATAATGTACTACACGTAGTTTCATTAGTGTAGTGAGCGATATTCTTTTTTTTTTTTGTTAAATTGTTTTTTGTTTTGTTTATATATTTAGTTAAATTTGTGTATGCCAGAAAGGCGGTATTTATAAGTAGTTAGCGGGACATTTTGTACATGAGGATTTTATAAAAGGAGCATTCAATGACGGAATATGTTTGTGACATTTTCTCATGCAACGGGGTATACTCACGGACTTCTTGATATTCACATGGGCTTACGAAGAGCGTGAAAGCTATCATACATTCTCATGCATTAATTCGTTTTCTTTCTTTCGGACAATTTGGACGCTAATGGCAAAATTCTAAAATTATAGTTACAAAATGTGGTATCTTAATTATTAATTGGGTATAACTTAATATCGTGAAATTTAAACTGTAAAAAATTTTTTTTTCATACAGATATTTTACAATTACTATTATTCTTTATCAGATCCAACCAATCATTTTTAACAGGTATGTAAACTTTGTATCTGAAGCTCGTTTATAAAATCAATATGGGCGTCACGTGATTTCACTTTGGTTTAACGTATGCTCAACCAACAATGATTATATTTTTAATTCAAAGTTTACCTTTTTCATTTCATAACTTGACGAGGCAAGCTTTTTTAAATGATGCTGTTTGTTTTCATTGGCTGGACACTAACATCGTTTGCATGTCATTTCTGTGCAAAACTATTTATAAAGGAATCGACATCATTCATTTCTGGAAATGGAAATAACATAATTGTTTTAACTGTTCTACAAGTGTTCTTCTACATGCAAGTGGCATCGTTTACGGATAACAATGATAAAGGGATTATGGTTAACAAACTTGTCATTTTCACTGCTCACGCATGCGCGACTTTAGCTACAAACTGGAGCATGGCTGTAACATATGTTGCTTCAACATTTGCAATTAAACTCATGGAACCTGTCACCAGTGCTTTATTACAAAAATTTATTCTTAATAATGAATTGTCATATCTACAGTACATCAGTATTCCAGCTGTTGTTTGTGGTTCAATATTATTTGCTCAAGAAAATAACACGTGGGAGTTAAATGTATCCAAAGGAACAGTTCTTGCGTTTATTTCTAATTTATGTTTGCACCTGGCAAGACTCAGCAGTTTATTTATGTCAAGATAAAATAGAACAAATACCAAATTGGATGAAAATGTCCAGGCCCAGAGGGCACTGGACTGTTTATTTAAAAAACAAGAAAGAAAGGCATATAAAGCTTATATAAGTAAAAAACATGACATAAAGTTGGACAGCAATTCGTCCTGTACATATAAAAGTAACATGTAGTAAAACAAACAATATTAAAACTAGGCAAGGAGTTGTGGTGGGGTGGTGGCGGTAGAGTGAAACAATTTTCAGATAACAATTTTGCGTGCGACACCTAGTGGTGAAAAATTTTCTATGATCCGAAAGATAGAATTACACCGAAAAGTGTTTAAACACCAGAAATGCCTTAAATGTGCTAAGATGTAAAATAAGATGAAACTGTACAAACATAAATCACTTTATACTGTTCCACTATATAAAGTATAATTTTATGTTTGCACCTGGCAAGACTCAGCAGTTTATTTATGTCAAGATAAAATAGAACAAATACCAAATTGGATGAAAATGTCCAGGCCCAGAGGGCACTGGACTGTTTATTTAAAAAACAAGAAAGAAAGGCATATAAAGCTTATATAAGTAAAAAACATGACATAAAGTTGGACAGCAATTCGTCCACCACTGGTCCAACCAAAGAGACTTGACAGGCGCAAATTTAGACGACAAAGAAATTTAAATTGTATAGATGCCTACCACTTTCCCAAACCACCAAAAAAAAACAAATATATGTTACAGCAAGTTCTAGAGAAAGTTATAACAAATCTACATGAGTATGATCAAGCAAATCATAGTAGAGAACACTAATGTGGAACAATTTGGAATTCCTATCAGGTTACATATATGTAGTCATAAAGTGTAACTAATATATATATATATATATGTATAAGTAACATGAGAAAGAAAAATATTTACAGTTATAACAAAGCTATTTACAACAAAATGGGTATTAACAACTGTATTATTTTTAAGGGTAAAACTTGTCACATGAGCAAGTGCTTGAAAGTAAAAACTTACAATATAGAAGTTAACAGGGGTAGACCCTGCCACTAGCAGGTCTATTATTAAAACACTTTCGACTAGATAAATTATTATGAGGCTTATTAAAGCGATGTTAGACAAAAATATGTGATTTTATTTACTGGAATAATAGTGAGACAAATTGTCAGACTAGAATTATGTTGACTAGTTATGATAGTAAAAATTTACAATACATAAATATAAAAAGCAATAAAATAAATACAAAAGTACAGATCTTCGGCTCAATAAGGAGCAATTGAAGAAGCATTGCAATGGATTTCATTTTGACTAGCAATATTTTGAGTATGTATATAGTTGTAAATAATTAGAAAATGTTACAAAAACCAGCATCAAGATAATTGTGTCACACCCCAATGACACAATAAGCAAATACATATTAACAAAACAATTGTCACTTATTTGTGTTTGCCCAATGACACAAAATGCACATACGGAGTAAAACCAAGTCCCTTTAATTGAATCACACTAATGACACACAAAGGCGTATGTACATGAATAAAAGCAACGTTATTTGTTTGTATCACACCCCGATGACACAAAAAGAGTAATTACACAATACTAGAATAAGATTAATATGATCGTGTCACACCCCAATGACACACAAAGTCATATATATATACATGAACAGAAACTGTCATTTTATTTTGCATCACACCCCGATGACACAAAAAAGTAATTGCACAATATTAGAATAAGAATAATATGGTTGTGTCACACCCCAATGACACAAAGGAAGCAAATAGACATAAATGAAACACCCATGTTTGTGTCACACCCCAATGACACAGAAAGGCATTTAAATATGGGTAAGGCAGCAGATAGGATTTTTGATCAAGAAACAGGATTTCTTACATTAGCTAGTCTGATGTATCTTTTAAAGGCATTTGATTTCCATCTGCCCATTTGCATAATGGTTTGTTCGGGGATTCCTGACAAAATAGCTTGTGTACATGCCCCTATCCTAAAGCTGTGGAGATGATAATACTGACGGCTGAGGTGACATAAGTCAAGTAGTTGATCAAAAACACCTTTGAATTTTGAAATAGTGATAGGAGTATTTAATGATGAAATAAAGAGGGGGCCATCACGAGCACCCCTGATGGTCAGATACCTGTGAAGTGATTTAATTGGACAAAGAACTTTGGTTCTTTGTAAAGTGACATCAATTGGCTTGACCTCTTTTTTAGTCTTGTAATTATGTAACTTCAAAGATACATGGGACTTAGTCAGATGAACATGATTGAATTGAATGACTTTGTTACACTTCCTTAAATTTCTTGGAAGAAGTTCACCCATTCTAAAGAACCCATTGTAAGTGACCAGTATTATAGCTTTGTACAGATATCTATCATACATATTGTCTTTAAAGATATGGTCACAGGCCACTATGAGTTTCTTTATGTGGACTTTTAACAGAGGCAAACGTTGATCAAAAGAGGGGGTTAGTTTTTTACACCCCAGGATCATTCTTTTAACAATTACATCATCACAAGGGTCAGGGAACCTAGCCACTTGGTGGAAATAAGTTATTGCTGATAAGTGACTGCTAATTGAAGATGGCTTATAGTTCTTTAAATGTAAATAAGCCACAAAGTCAGAAATGACAGTGGCAGAAAAAGGCACGTCATGGTACGAATTATTTGATGTTAGGAACTCAACAAATTTTGCCCAAAACCTGTCATATGCTTGTCTGGTAGTTCTTGCTAGGGACGCCGCTACCAAATTGCCTTTTATTTCAGCAATAGCCATGGAGTCATTGACAGTGGAATGGCTGCTGGGCATTTGTTTAGATGAGGAGCGAGTTGAAGGGCTTCTTTGACCTGTAATCGAGATAATTTATCACAGATTATATTAGTAGATGAACTAATATGTTTTGATTTAAAACAGAAGTTGTATTTGAGGGCCTTTAAAACTATAAATCTGATCAGTTTCATCATTATTTTGTCTTTAGAAGTTTGCTTGTTTAAACAGTAGACTACAGACAAGTTGTCACTTATAAACAAGACATTCGTTCCTGACCATAAATGACCAAACATTACAACTGCTAATGCTATTGGATAGAGCTCTAAGATATTGATATGGAGCTGTTGGATTTGAAGTGGAAAACAGCCAAATGTCCATTCATTTGAGTAAACAATTCCGAAGCCTTTAGAACCGGCTGAATCTGTGAATAGATTCATAGTTTGATTTGATATAAATCTGTCCCCGGTAAGAAGAGTGCAACCATTGTAATCATGAATGAATTCATGCCACAATTGAATATCAGCCCTGCAATCATTATTCAATTTGATGTAGTGATGTTTACTATTTATGCCCATAGTTTTATCATATAGACGTCGTAAGAAACAACGACCCGGTTTAATGACTCTACAAGCAAAGTTTAAATGACCTAATAATGATTGCAATTCCCTTAGAGTGACTTTCTTTTGTTTCCTGTACATGTTAAGTAAGGATCTTAGGGCTTGAACTTTGTTCTGAGGAAGTTTGGCGATCATTGACTTGGTATCAATCATAATACCATGTACTTCTACACAGGTCGAAGGTAATGACGTTTTAGCATGTTTGATTGGTAAATTCAAGTCTTTTGCCAGTGACATGAATTTATTCAATGAGTTTAAACATTCCCCAGTATCAGCAGAACCCACAAAAATGAAATCGTCTATAATGTGTGATACTTTTTGTACTTCACATTTTGTTTTCAAAATCCACTGTAAAGAACATGAAAATTTTTCAAATATAGCTACCGAGGAAGAAGCTCCCATAGGTAGTGCTGTATCAAAATAAAATTTATTGTCAAATGAAAACCCCAATTTCCTGAAATCTAAAGGAGACATAGGGATAACTCTGTATGCATCTTCAATATCAGCCTTAGCAATTTCACAATTGTAACCCGAAGATAGGACTAATTTAGCTACATCATCAAATAGTTCTAAACAAACCTCTAAATAATCTTGGAATAAATGAGTTAACTGAGGATCCCCATGAGGGGTAAGATAGATCATGTATGAGTCGAAAGGAGTTAGGGTCTTTCTTAGGGACGACACCTAAAGGGGAGCAAACTAAGTCATGGAATGGTTTAGTCTTGAAAGGCCCTTTAATTTTTTGCTTCAAAATCTCAGAGGATAGCTTTGTGCGAACAAAATCAAGGTGAGTGCTAACAGAGCGGTGGTTGTTGGCTGACAATGCCGGGACATAACCGACAGTACCTAAACTAAAGCCGTAAGTAAAACCATCAATTACCGATTGTTTGAGATAATAACCATCAAGATATTGTTGTAGGGAGGATACATTTATAGGGGTTGATACCTTAAAGCCCTTATTACTTGGCTGTGTTGTCACCTGTTTTGATGGGTTGTTTGAATTTCTTAAAATCAAGGTGGCAGGAGATGGCTGCATGCTGTCCTTCACAGTTTGCACATTTGTGACTGACAGAACAGGACTTTTTTGAGCAAGAGGATCTTTTTTGAAATTCCCAACAATAACCTTTTCTTTGAAAGATGTGGGGCGGGAGGTATTTCCGAAAGGAATGGTTGTTGTTTTGGACTTTGTGATTGGCTGGCTTGTCAATTGAGCAAAAAAGGAATGTTTCAGCATGGATTATCCCCCATGGTTGAGGGTTGGTTGCCCTTAGCTGCCTAAACTTAGTGTCGTACAGCAACCAGTTATCAGTAGATTGGGCCATTTTTTGAATAATAGACATATATTGGAAGAGTTGGCTACTCTCCAAAGGGTACTTGCAACAATACACATCGGCGTATTGTTGAAAGGCTCTAGACCAAGTTAGTATAGTGCTTATTTGTTTCTTGGACCCCTCCTGAATAGAGGTGACCGTTCTATTTCCAGATTCCTGGATAGTGGTGGTTTTTGATATGTTTTTTTCTCTAAAATAAAGAACCCCCAGATCTACAAATTCCCGATTCCATATCTGCTGCCTTAGTTTTGAGTCTATAGGCGGATGGACTAGACTAAAAGATCCTAGATCCACCGAGTTGTTACTTAAATCAAGGGGAACAGGTCCAGAATCTATGGTGCTTAAACTAACACCATCCTCACTAGTGTCCATTTGGTCATGGTTAGTGGACATGGATTGGACATCCTGGTCTGGTTCAATTTCATAATTGGCCGTACCGTCATCTTTATCCGTGGTAGGCAGTAAATCCACAATTTCCTTGAGCACTTCCTCATCTTTGCTGATGGCAGTGGCGATGAGTTGTGCCAACTTGCTGCTACCATTTTTCTTCTGCTTCTTGCCAGATTTGGCTTTGTTTGGTGCGACTTTGGGCATTCTGAAATGTAATGTCTTACAAGAATTAATTATAGGTGGGAATATGCTGGGATACTCCCACTTTGATATGGTATAAGAATAGTCTACATGTACAATAAGTGAATATAACCAACTGGAACCAATTGTTAAACCAGTGGTAAAAGTGTACTTGTAGAAAAGTATCCAACCAGTGTTACCCGGAAAAATTCACACGCAGGTGATAAAATTAAATAAATAATGTAAATAGTATGGTATAATTGTGCATCCCCAAACAAACACACGCACGTGTAAATATCTGACTAGCAGAATGTATAAACGGGGAGCAAACCATGTTCAAATGGTCAACCATACAACGAATATCCTGGGTATCAACTGGTGGATGTGTCGGTATAAAAAATTAACAATGCCAACTCAGGGCACTAAATGTTGTTAACAGGGACCTTATTAGGATAATGGTCCAAAACTAAACAGAATAGATGAGAATTGTATGGCAACACAATTCATAAATAATGCAACAATGAAAGGCAAATTGAATTATCACTTACTTATCTATGGCAAATCTTTTAATGTTAGTTATACCAAATCAAATCTTTGCATGAAATAAATGTCCCACACAACTATCACTCATTCACTGTTTTGTCAAATTGAGTGTATGTAATCTGAAACACAATGTATGAAAAGAACATGTAAAAGAAATACATATACAAATATATATAAATATATACACATGTGAAGACAGGAAACTTATTGTGATAAACATTTTTCAGCCAATAAAATGGAGCCTCTAACTGAAGCATAGTAACGAGGCATAGTAACGAGGCATGCCCTTTTGGTTGTCAACATGGACCCCATCATTTGCAACATAATCCCTAATAAAACGACGGTTGAAGTTGTTCCGTTTGTGAGTCCAAAATATTAGGGAAGGCTTGTCTTCACAATATGATTTCAATAACTGATTTGTTGTGTCAGCCTTGGCATTATATACATGGTCACCAGCTCTATGTAAAATTTCATAGATGACAACAACTTGACTACCACGACTAAATATATTTGAACATAAACTGATAATGCTATCCACCAACTGATTTGGCTGCAAATTTGGAATGCATAAATCATTACTTCCAATATCTACAACTGTGCAGTTTATCTCCAATTCATCTACCAAATAAACATCGCACCAAATTGATTTCGCTTTAGACTTTGACGCGACATAAGCTCCGCCCACTCCATGCCAATAAACTTGCACGCGGTCCGAATCTAAATTCAAATTCAACAAACATTTCGTACCACACCATCTCTGGAGGCGCTTTGTAAAAGAGTGGCCCAGTAACAAAACATTCATAACTATTCTCAAACAAAGAGATTAATGAAAAGGAACGATACAAATTATGTAACAAACCCACGCTATCCACGCTGTCCTAAGTAGGTCACTCACGCTCGTCGTTGATGCTGTGACAGTGTCGCCGAGAAAACTAACTGCTTTTTAACCAGAAGCTATTTGCGACTACGTGGTAGATTAAATAAGCTTCCCCAAATAAATAATTATTGAGAATAACTGTTGACGAGCAATAAATAAAATATAAAATAGAGTGAAACAATTTTCAGATAACAATTTTGCGTGCGACACCTAGTGGTGAAAAATTTTCTATGATCCGAAAGATAGAATTACACCGAAAAGTGTTTAAACACCAGAAATGCCTTAAATGTGCTAAGATGTAAAATAAGATGAAACTGTACAAACATAAATCACTTTATACTGTTCCACTATATAAAGTATAATTATATGTTTATCCCTGAGAAACGTGTACATGAAAAAGAATCACATATCACATTCTAATTTCATAGTTAACAAAACCCATATTGGATTAGGACTATATGTTGTTTTTGCCATAGGAGCATTGGTTCTTGTGAACATCGAAATAGCACCCCCAGGATCCCCAAAATTGTACTTTCTTCTCTTAGGATCTTCTTTATTTCATGCTATTTATAGCTACATATCTACGATAGTTGTACTTCACCATTTTTCCGTTGTTGGTCATGCATTTGGAAACATTTTGAAAAGACTTGCTGTTCTTGGTTTATTATACGTAACAGGCTCAAAAACATCGTCCATCGTAAATTTCATTGGACTTTTCATATGTGCAACAGGGCTGACAATTTATGCGTTTTCTAAAGTACAAGAATTGAATCAGAATCAAATCAACAAAAAGTTTCAAAGTGAGTGAAATGAGTTATAATATACCATTATAAAGCTGTTTACACTTCTAATTCTAAACCTGCTGATTTTGTGTTATTTGCTTAGCTTTAACATTAGAATTAACCATTCAAAGTTTAAGATATTTCAGTATCAAAATACAAATATTAAATAACAAACAGCATAGAGCCAGGTCAGATTTAATCGGTATACTACATGTATTTGTATTTGGTTGCCCTAGGTATATTTATCCCTAATATATGCTATGTCCTTTAGAAAGGCATTTGATTAAGTCCCAGATAAAGATGAATTTTCTATGTGAATATAATTATGTAGAATCATCTAGAATTGAACCAAATTTTGTTTTTTGTTTCAGCTGTGATGAGCTTCAAAAGACATTTATTCTTTACCTTGGTTACTATCATTGCATTTTTTCTGGCAGTAAATCAGTTTTTCGAGGGAAATACGATGACGTTAGAGTTATTGAAATGTAGAACGAACTATGTTGATGTAAATAATGATAACTTTAAATCGTTGTGGAATAACTTATCTCTGTCAAAGCAAGCGACATTCAACATCAAAGACTTCCTAACATTAGATCTAGCACACAATCCAGAAGAAACTAATAAACTTTCTATATTGCTTACAAAACGGTCAGATGTAATTGACGAAGCTCAGAGAATTCACATGAATATTTTCAAGTCCCTGTTGGGCGGGTATAAATATGCAATGCTATTCGATTATTCTCACTCGGAAAACAAAGGTGACTCGGCGATTACTGTTGGAGAAACATTGCTTTTGAGGAAACTCAAAATCGAAATTGTGTTTGTATGTAAAATTCATTGCATAGATTATCAACTAGACAGAGCCCATAACATCAGTAAAAAATATACAAGTAAAGATCTTGTCATTCTTTTTCATGGTGGCGGAAATATCATTGGTTGGCCTTTGTCAGACGTTTCTCGTGGTAAACAAATAAAACGATTCATGCAGTTCAACATTGTCATGTTTCCACAAAGTATTTTGATAATGGGACCAGATTCTCACATAAAGTTCTGCCAAAAATTATATGAATCTCATCAGAGGCTTACGTTTCTATGGCGAGATAAGGTATCCTTCGATCTTGGCAAGAAGCTCTTCCCTAAGGTACGTTCGTTATTATCACCAGATATTGCCTACCAGATTGGTTTCGTTCCTCGCTTCATGTATCCAACGTTCGATATACTTTGGATAAAACGCGCCGATAAAGAGTCTCCACACTACAATACACCGGCAGCTCCGGAAGGTTATCGTATGCATGTTTCTGATTGGTTGATGTGGAAAACCCCGCGTGGGGACTCGCCAATGGAAGACTCGTTTCTTATGACAACCAATGGATTGGTGTTTTTACAGAGAGGTCGAGTAGTTATCACTGATCGTCTTCACGGTCATATTTTATCAACACTTCTCAATATCCCCCACGTATATATTGATAACAAACAACGTAAAATATCTAACTATCACACCACATGGACGGCTGGTTTAGATAATGTAGTTTTAGCAAATTCTAGTATTGACGCAGTTGAAAAAGCAAAGGAATTGCTGCTTAAACTTGATAAAGAATTACCTTTAGTTAAAGGATATTTCATATAGTTAGTAAGAAAAGACATTGCATGAAAGGAAAACAAGCTAACGATATGAAATTAACACTATAATTTAAATGTGTTATACTTAAATGACACTCACGAAAGGAACTATGGCAGTTTAAGAATCTTTTTGCGCAAATATAATTAGCACAGATGAGAATTTTATATTTTCTATATATTTGGATTGCCGAATGGCATATTTTCAAATCGAGCATTTCTAAAATGTATAAAACTTCTTTAAAAGACCATCATTATGAAACACTTACTTAGACAATATTGTTTTAACGAGCAAGACACAAACAAAAATATTGCCTGAAAATATTAAAATAAAAGAAATATCTCATATATGGAATCATAAGACTGGTAAATTGAAAACTGAAAGTAAATGGGAAAGCTTATTTAATATGGAGTAACAATGGAGTAAAAATATGATTCTTTTTCTTCATGCAAAGCTGTACAATTTCAGTGAAATTTTTACACAATGTTATTTATACAGAACACAAGCTGTCTCTTATGAATTTATCTGAGGGTAAATGTTGTATATGTAAATCTCACAGAGAAACTTTGTTTCATCTCTTCTGGGAATGTGATTTTGCAAAGAATGTTTGGACATTTGTAATTCAAAAACTTAAGTCTGCTAAAATCTTGGAAAATGATTTTTCAAATTTTCAATCTACTGCATCTTTTGGGTCTTTTGAACTCGCAATTAACAATAAATTGACCAATACTGTTATATTCGAAACCAAATGGGCAATTTAGAAATATCGTAACAATTGTAAGCATAATTATTCATATCAACCAGTATCTATTTTGTTAAGAAATTTGTTAAATGATATAAAATACCAATTTGAATACAAGTATAGAAATAAAGGCGATACTGTGACAGAAATTTTAAAATATTTGTAATTTGTAAGAATTTTATCTTTAATGTATGGGACGCAACTCAATTGAAATTATAGAATTAATTTATCAAGAGTTAACTCGCTTTTCAACCTTGTCATTTTTCGTTTTTCGGACAAATAAATGATACCTTTGCGAACTCTTTTATTTATAACATTATCTGTTCTGCTTCTTATTTTATAAGAAATCAAATAAATCGTACACAAAAAGTGGATTTTTATATTTTTCTGTAAAGGATGGCCTTGACCTTGGGATAGCGACCTGATTATTTGCGCTCTGTACATCGTTCAATAATGATGATTAAAAGTGTATAGGTAATTTTTAATTTTTTTCTTCGAAATGGAGATGCAATGTTTTATTTTTATATATATTTGGCCATTAATAGTGTACTTGGCTATGTGGGTAGCAACCTAATTGCCGGGCTCTTCACGTTGTCTCGTAATGGTGATCATTGGACAGTTATATTGTTATGGACCGGACACACGGACATATTGATAGGCGGGACAATTCCTATAGTCACCTCCCCACTACGCGGCAGGGGATTAATACACAATTGAAAATGCGAATAATTCTGATTACTGCATGTCAAATGCATGTCATACTCCATCTAGCCTTAATTCCAATTTTAAGGTAAAATGTATATAAATTCCTTGTCCAATATAATTTACTTTCGAACTAAACAGTTAATAATAACCTTATTTTAATGGACGAATACGCTGCTGTTTTACCTAAACTGGACGAGGCGCCTATGAAATCATTTAGAGCTGTGTACAAGACCAAAAACATCAATATTGTATTGTATGTAAATAATTTTTTTCACACCACTAATGTTTTGACATTATTTTGTTTTTTTAAGGATAATTAGGATTTGATATGGACTATTTAGACTCTAAGAATAAAAAAAACTAGGCTAAAGTGAGTGTAACTTGGATTTGATAATTTTGGGTTTGTGAAAATAAACAACAAAGCTCAAATATGTACTGCAAACGCTAAAGTTCATTGGTTGCACATTATTAATTGTAACACCTGAACATGTAAAAATGTTTTCAATTTGAAAGTCGACCATGTTGTATGTAACTAGTATGCAACAATATTCGCAGACAATTCTACCTGAGTTTATTTCGTTTTGCGATTTCAAAAACAGATTTTATTTGTTTATCTTATAAGATACATGTAACTTAAACAACACATATAATTTGACATCCATATGTTGCCATTTGTTTTATAGATTATGACTGATGTTCTTTCCTCAACATTTTATTGTTTTTGTTTTTTTTGTTGTCAATGTTATACACTCAGAATGCCTGGATTTTAAATTCTTATATCATCATTATAGTGTCTCTCTATATGGTAATTTTTCTATTTGAATATTTCTTAATATCTTCATGAGCACATCTGCGGATATTACCAAATTCTTAATGTCATGATTTTCACACTGATATGTTGAACAGACTCAATCAAGTCGAGACTGCAACTTTTTCAAAAGGATGTTTTCAAAGTTTCTATTTTATCTTTAAACTCATTTCAAAATTAAAGGGTATAAAGCTATATCTTATGAAATATTTTTGTATAAAATCCATCAACAGTAAAATAATGTACACGAAGTTTCATAATTGTCCTGAACGATATTCTCTTATTTCGTTTGTTAATTTGTTTTTTGTTTTGTTTATCTCCATATTTAGTTAATCTTATGTATGCTTAGGGCGGAGTTTAAAAGTTGTTAGCGGGCATTTTTGAATATGAGCATTTTATAAGAGGAGCATTCAATGGCGGAGTATGTTTGTGACATTTTTCTCATGCAACGGAATATACTCATGCCTCATGGATTCCATGATATTCAAATGGACTAACGAAGAGTATAAAAGCTAACATATATTCTCATGTATTTATTCGTTTCCTTTCTTTCGGCCAATGTATGCTAATGTCAAAATTCTAAAATTATAGTTACAAAATGTGGTTAGTTATTACTTGGATATAATTTGATATTTTGAATACAAACTGTAAAAAATATATATTAATATTTTTTTTTCAATGTGGCTAAAAGTTTTATGTTTATTTTCTAAACTCAGAAATAAAGAGATGTCAGCAACAATATTTCTATTATTAATTCTTGAAACAATAATAACATTACCTAACATAGAATGTCTCTGTTATTTAACACACATGGATATTGCAGGGTAACGGAAGAAAATGAATTTTACCATTTAGCGATCATTCTGTGCATGCGTCATTTGCTCTTCAGGACATAAACATGCATATATCTTTCAAACCGATATTTAACAATTATTCATTTTCAAATCCAACCAATAATTTGTAGCGGAACGGAAACTTTGTATGCTTTAAGTGAAGTTTTGAACAACATCATTTCACATTGTAACACGTTTATAAATCAATATAGGCGTCACATTATTTCACTTAGATAAAAAGCACATATAAGAAAAGTACGATTTTGTTTTAAGCATGTTCAACCAACTATAACTATATTCTAAACTTAAAAATAACCTTTTTCCAAATGATGTTGTTTGTTTTCATTGGCTGGACAATAACATCGTTTGCATGTCACTTCTGTGCCAAACTATTTATAAAGGAATCGACATCATTCACTCCTGGAAATGGAAATAACATAATTGTTTTAACTGTTCTACAAGTGTTCTTCTACATGCAAGTAGCATCGTTTACGGATGACAATGATAAAGGGGTTATGGTTAACAAACTTGTCATTTTCACTGCTCACGCATGCGCGACTTTGGCGACAAACTGGAGTATGGCTGTAACATATGTAGCTTCTACATTTGCTGTTAAACTAATGGAACCTGTAACCAGTGCTTTATTACAAAAACTTATTCTAAAAATCGAATTATCATATCTACAGTACATCAGTATTCCAGCTGTTGTTTGTGGTTCAATATTATTTGCACAAGAAAATAACACATGGAAGTTAAATGTTTCCAAAGGAACAGTTCTTGCGTTTATTTCTAATATATGTTTATCCCTCAGAAACGTGTACATGAAAAAGAATCACATATCACATTCTAAGTTCATAATTAACAAAACCCATATTGGATTAGGACTATTTGTTGTTTTTGCCATAGGAGCATTGGTTCTTTTTGATATCGGGATAGCACCCACAGGAACCGCAAAATTATACTTTCTTCTCATAGGATCTTCTTTATTTCATGCTATTTATAGCTACATATCTACGGTAGTTGTACTTCACCATTTTTCCGTTATTGGTCATGCATTTGGAAACATTTTGAAAAGGCTTGCTGTTCTTGGTTTATTATACGTAACAGGCTCAAAAACATCGTCAATCGTAAATTTCATTGGACTTTTCACATGTGCAACAGGGCTGGCAATTTATGCGTTTTCTAAAGTACAAGAGTTGAATCAGCACCAAATTAACAAAGAGTTTCAAAGTGAGTGAAAGGATATCATTATAAAGCTGTTCACATTTTTAATTCTAAACCTGCTGATTTTGTGTTATTTGCTTAGCTTTAATATTAGAATTAACCATTCAAAGTTTAAGATATTTCAGTATCAAAATACAATATTAAATTACAAACAGCAAAGAGCCAGGTCAGATTTAACTGATATAATACATATATTGGTAGTTGGTTGCCATAGGTATATTTATCCCTAATATATGCTATGTCCTTTAGAAAGACATTTGATATAGTCTCAGAAAAAGATGATTCTTTTGTATGTGAATATATTTAGACTCATCTAGAATAAAACCAAACTTTATTTTATGTTTCAGCTGTGATGAGCTATAAAAGACATTTATTCTTTAGCTTGGTTACAATTATTGTATTTTTTCTGGCACTGAATCAGTTCTTCAGGGGACATACGATGATGTTAGAGTTATTGAAATGTAGAACGAAATATGTTGATGGAAATAATGATAGCTATAAATTGTTGTGGAATAATTTATCTCTGTCAAAGCAAGCGACATTCAACATCAAAGACTTCCTAACATTAGATCTAGCACACAATCCAGAAGAAAGTAATAAACTTTCTATATTGCTTACAAAACGGTCAGATGTAATTGACGAAGCTCAGAGAATTCACATGAATATTTTCAAGTCCCTGTTGGGCGGGTATAAATATGCAATGCTATTCGATTATTCTCACTCGGAAAACAAAGGTGACTCGGCAATTACTGTTGGAGAAACATTGCTTTTGAGGAAACTCAAAATCGAAATTGTGTTTGTATGTAAAATTCATTGCATAGATTATCAACTAGACAGAGCCCATAACATCAGTAAAAATTATACAAGTAAAGATCTTGTCATTCTTCTTCATGGTGGCGGAAATGTCATTGGTTGGCCTTTGTCAGACGTTTCTCGTGGTAAACAAATAAAACGATTCATGCAGTTCAACATTCTCATGTTTCCACAAAGTATTTTGATAATGGGACCAGATTCTCACGTAAAGTTCTGCAAAAAAATATATGCATCTCATCCGAGACTTACCTTTCTATGGCGAGATAAGGTGTCTTTCGATCTTGGCAAGAAGCTCTTCCCTAACGTACGGGCGATATTATCACCAGATATTGCCTACCAGATCGGTTTCGTTCCTCGTTTCATGCAACCAACGTTCGATATACTTTGGATAAAGCGCACCGATAAAGAGTCTCCACACTACAATACACCTGCCGCACCGAAAGGATATCGTATTCACGTTTCTGATTGGTTAATGTGGAAAACCCCGCGCGGGGACTCGCCAATGGAGGACTCGTTTCTTATGACAACCAATGGAATGATGTTTTTACAGAGAGGTCGAGTAGTTATAACTGATCGTCTTCACGGTCATATTCTATCAACACTTCTCAATATCCCCCACGTATATATTGATAACAAACAACGTAAAATATCTAACTATCACACCACATGGACGACTGGCTTAGATAATGTAGTTTTAGCAAATTCTAGCATTGACGCAGTTGAAAAAGCAAAGGAATTGCTGATAAAACTTGATAAAGAATTACCTTCAGTTAAAGGATATTTCATAAAGTAAGTAAGAAAAGATTGCATGAGAGGAAAACAAGCTAACAATATGAAATTAACACTTTAATTAAAATGTATTATACAAAAATGTCAGTAACGAAATACACTTCGGCAGTTTAAGAAGTTCTATGCACAAATAAAATAAGCGCAGATGAGAATTCAATATTTTCAAAATGTGTTCATTTTTGTATTAACAAACATGTACAAAATTTGTCTAGTGATATTTCTAAAATAAATGATTTAAAAAAGCATTCTAAAGGTCAGATATATCCCCTTTCACGGTAATTTTTTTTAAAACTTTTGACCGATCTTTAAATATTACCTTGACCTTAGAAGAAACAACCTGGTTTTCGAGTTCTGCCCATCATCTCATACTGGCTATCATTTGTTCCAAGTGGTTTTATAACTTCTTAAGCAAGCTAAAGGTAATTCATCTTACACCAAAATTGGATTTTTATTTTTTACCTTAAGGTATGTCCTTGGCCTTGGGATAGCGATCTGATTGTTTGCGCTCTGTACATCGTTCAATAATGATGATTAAAAGTGCATAGGTAATTTAAAAAAGTTTTCTTCGAAATGGAGATGCAATGTTTTATTTTTATATATATTTGGTCATTAATAGTGTACTTGGCCTTGAGGGTAGCAACCTTATTACTGGGCTCTTGATGTCGTCTGGTAATGGTGATCATCGGACAGTTATGTTGTTATGGACCGGACACGAAAATGTTATGGACGGACAGATTGATAGGCGGGACAATTCCTATAGTCACCTCCCCACTACGCGGCAGGGGATTAATAAACATTTGAAAATGCGAATGATTCTGATTACATTGCAAACAGAACATTATAATAAGCTTTTCATATATCATTATCGGTCGTTATGTTATTGTTCATTGGCAAAATAATTTTATGCATCTACCTTATGTTCAGATAGATGATTTGTAATCGTGATAAGATGTTTCAAACGAAATCATTATCGGACCCAATCTTATCAATTTAGCTTCGTTTTCATTTCCAGAGTGCAAAACATTCGTTTTTAATGCATATCTCGCCCCCTTAGCCTCGTTTTTCATTTTTTGTCCAAAAATATCTATTTAAAATTCATGTCGTACTCCATCTAGCCTCAATTCCAATTTCATGGTAAAAATATATATCAATTTCTTGTCCAATATAATTTACTATCGAACTAAACAGTGAATAATAACCTTATTTTAATGGACGAATACGCTGCTGTTTTACCTATACTGGACGAGGCGCATATAAAAGCATTTAGAGCTGTGTACAAGACCAAAAAATCAATATTGTATTCAAAAGTATGTAAATATTTTTTTTTTACACCACCAATGTTTTGACGTTATTATTTTTTTTAAATATAATTAGGATTTGATATGGACTATTTAGACTCTAAAATAAAAAAAAAACTAGGCTAAATGTAGTGTAACTTGGATTTGATAATTTTTGGTCTGTGAAAATAAACAACAAAGCTCAAATATGTAATGCAAACGCTAAAGTTCATTGATTGCACATTATTAATTGTAACACGTGAACGTATAAAAATGTTTTGAATTCGAAAGTCGACCATGTTGTTTGTAACAAGTATGTTTATTTCATTTTGCGATTTCAAAAACAGATTATATTTGTTATAAGATACATGTATTGTAACGTAAACAATACATAGAATTTGACATCCATATGTTGTCATTTTTTTATAGATTATGTCTGATGTTCTTTGCTCAACATTTTATTGTTTTTGTTTTTTTTATTGTTGTCAATGTTATACACTCAGAATGCTTGGATTTAAAATTCTTAAATCATCATCATAGTGTCTCTCCATATGGTAATATTTTTTTTAATTTGAATATTTCTTAATAACTTCATGAGCACATCTGCGGATATATCTAAATTCTCAATGCCATGATTTTCACACTGATATGTTGAACAGACTCAATCAAGTCGAGACTGCAGGACGTTCTTCAAAGTTTCTGTTTTATCTTTAAACTCATTTCAAAATTAAAGGGTATAAAGCTATATCTTATGAAATATTTTTTTTTATAAAATCTATCAACAGTAAAATAATGTACACGTTGTTTCATAATTGTCGTGAACGATATCCTCTTATTTTGTTTGTTAATTTGTTGTTTTTTTTGTTGTTTTTTTTGTTTTGTTATCTCCATATTTAGTTAATCTTATGTATGCAAGTAGGGCGAAGTTTAAAAGTTGTTAGCGGGCATTTTGAATATGAGCATTTTATAAGAGGAGCATTCAATGACGGAGTATGTTTGTGACATTTTTCTCATGCAACGGAATATACTAATGCCTCATGGATTCCATGATATTCAAATGGACTAACGAAGAGTATAAACGCTAACATATATTCTCATGTATTTATTCCTTTTTTTGGAAATGGACAATTTGGATACTAATGACAAAATTCTAAAATTATAGTTACAAAATGTGGTTACTTACTTATTGGATATAATTTGATATTGTAAAATTTAAACTGTAAAAATAAAGAGTAAAATAGATTTTTGAATGTGTCTAAAAGATTTTAAGTTATTTTTTAAACTTAGAAATAAAGAGATGTCAGCAACAATAATTTTATTATCGATTATAGAAACAATTGTAACATAGAATGTCTCTGCTATTTAACACACATGGATATTGCAGGGTAACGGAATAAATGTTGCTTTTTTAGTTGGGATTTAACCATTTAGCTATGATTCTGTGCAAGCGTCATTTGCTCTTTAGGACATAAACAATCATTTATATTTTATAACTATTCGTTTCAAATGCAACCAATAATTTGTAGCGGTAAGGTAAACTTTGTATACTTTAAATGAAGTTTTGTACAACATCGTTTCACATTGTAGCACGTTAATAAAATCAACACTTTGATAAAAAGCATATATTAGAAATGTACAGTTTTGTTTTACGTATGTTCAACCAACAATAATTATATTCTCAACTTAAAAAAAGCCTTTTTTCATTTCTTAACTTAAGAGGCAAGCTTTTCCAAATGATGTTGTTTGTATTCATTGGCTGTACAATAACATAGTTTGCATGTCATTCCTGTGCCAAACTATTTATAAAGGAATCAACATCTTTCATTCCTGGAAGTGGAAATGACGTCATTGTTTTAACTGTATTACAAGTGTTCTTCTATATATGCAAGTAGCATCGTTTGCGGGTGACAATGATAAAGGGGTTATGGTTAACAAACTTGTCATTTTCATTGCTCACGCATGCGCGACTTTAGCGACAAACTGGAGCATGGCTTAAACATATGTAGCTTCTTCATTCGCTATTAAACACATGGAACCTGTCACCAGTGCTTTATTACAAAAACTTATTCTTAATTAAATCGAAATGTCATATCTACAGTACGTCAGTATTCCAGCTGTTGTTTGTGGTTCAATAATTTTTTCTCAAGAAAATAACACATGGGAGTTAAATGTTTCCAAAGGAACTGTTCTTGCGTTTATTTCTAATATATGTTTATCCCTGAGAAACGTGTACATGAAAAAGAATTACATATCACATTCTAAGTTCATAATTAACAAAACCCATATTGGATTAGGACTATTTGTTGGTTTTGCCGTAGGAGCATTGGTTCTTGTGAACATCGGGATAGCACCCCCAGGATCCCCAAAATTATACTTTCTTCTCACAGGATCTTCTTTATTTCATGCTATTTATAGCTACATATCTACGGTAGTTGTACTTCACCATTTTTCTGTTATTGGTCATGCATTTGGAAACATTTTGAAAAGACTTGCTGTTCTTGGTTTATCATACGTAACAGGCTCCAAAACATCGTCAATCGTAAATTGTATTGGACTTTTCATATGTGCAACAGGCCTGACAATTTATGCGTTTTCTAAAGTAAAAGAGTTGAATCAGCACCAAATTAACAAAGAGTTTCAAAGTGAGTTGAAGGAGTTGTAATATACCATTATAAAGCTGTTTACACTTCTAATTTTAAACCTGCTGACTTTGAATTATGCTTAGTTTTGAAATTAGAATAGTCCATTCAAATTATAAAATATTTCAATATCAAAATACAAATATTCAGTTACAAACAGCGAAGAGCCGGATTAGATTCAACCGATATGTATTTGTATTTGGTTGCCATAGGTTAATTTATCCCTAATATGTCATTTAGGAAGACATCCGATTTAGTCTCAGAAAAATAAGTTTTTTTGTATGTGAATATATTTTAGAATCACCTAGAATAAAACCAAACTTTATTTTATGTTTCAGCTGTGATGAGCTACAAAAGACATTTATTCTTTACCTTGGTTACTATCATTGTATTTTTTCTGGCAGTGACTCAGTTCTTCGAGAGACATATGACGTTAGAGTTATTGAAATGTAGAACGAAATATGTTGATGGAAATAATGGTAGTTATAAATTGCTGTGGAATAATTTATCTCTGTCAAAGCAAGCGACATTCAACATCAAAGACTTCCTAACATTAGATCTAGCACACAATCCAGAAGAAAGTAATAAACTTTCTCCATTACTTACAAAACGGTCAGCTGTAATTGACGAAGCTCAGAGAATTCACATGAATATTTTCAAGTCCCTGTTGGGCGGGTATAAGTATGCAATTCTATTCGATCTAACTCCCTCGGAAAACAAAGGTGACTCGGCGATTACTGTTGGAGAAATATTGCTTTTGAGGAAACTCAAAATCGAAATTGTGTTTGCATGCAAATATTTTGCTGCGGATTATCAGTTTGAAAGAGCTTACAACATCAGTAAAACATATTCAAGTAAAGATCTTGTCATTCTTTTTAATGGTGGCGGAAATGTCATTGGTTGGCATGAGGCGGACGTTGCTCGTAGTAAACAAATAGCAAGATTTATGCAGTTCAATATTGTCATGTTTCCACAAAGTATTTTGATGATGGGAGGTGATTCCCTCATAAAATTTTGCCAGAAAATATATGCATCTCATCCGAGACTTACCTTTCTATGGCGAGATAAGGTATCTTTTGAGCTTGGAAAGAAGCTCTTCCCTAAGGTACGGTCGTTATTATCACCAGATCTTGCCTACCAGATTGGTTTCGTTCCTCGTTTCATGCATCCAACGTTTGATATACTTTGGATAAAGCGCACCGATAAAGAGTCTCCACACTACAATACACCGGCAGCTCCGGAAGGATATCGTATGAATGTTTCTGATTGGTTGATGTGGAAAACCCCGCGTGGGGACTCGCCAATGGAAAACATTTTTCTTATGACAACAAATGGAATGATGTTTTTACAGAGAGGTCGAGTAGTTATCACTGATCGTCTTCACGGTCATATTCTATCAACTCTTCTCAATATCCCCCACATATATATTGATAACAAACAACGTAAAATATCTAACTATCACACCACATGGACTGCTGGCTTAGATAATGTAGTTTTAGCAAATTCTAGTATTGACGCAGTTGAAAAAGCAAAGGAATTGCTGATAAAACTGGATAAAGAATTACCTTCAGTTAAAGGATATTTCATAAATAAAGTAAGAAAAGACAATGCATAAGAGGACAACAAGCTAACGATATGAAATTAACACTATAATTAAAATGTTTTATACTAAAATGTCAGTAACAAAAGGAACTACTGCAGTTTAAGAAGCTTTATGCACAAATATAATAAGCACAGATGAGAATTGTATATTTTCAAAATGTTTTCATTTTTGTATTAACAAACATGTACCAGATATGTCTATAAAATGTTTCTAAAATAAATGATTCAAACAAAAAAAAACCCATAAGCATTCGAAAGGTCTGATATATCCCCTTTCACAGTAAATGTTATAACCTTTGACCGACCTAAGTATTACCTTGACCTTAAAAGAAACAAGCTGGTTTTTGAGTTCTGCACATCATCTCATACTGGCTTTCATTTGTTCCATGTGATTTTAAAACTTCTTTAGCAAGCTAAAGGTAATTCATATAGGATATAAAAAGTGGATTTTTATATTTTACCTTAAGACATTGCTTTGAACTTGGGATAGCGACCTGTTACATCGTTCAATAATGATGATCAAATGTGCCTAGGAAATTTTAAAACTTTTCTTTGAAGTGGAGAAGTAATGTTTTTTGTTTTTTTTGTTTTTTTTATAAATTTGATAATTAATATTGTACTTGGTCTTGGGGGTGCAAACTTGTTGCTTGCGCTCTTCACGTCGTCTCGTAATGGTGAGCATTGAACTGTTATAATGTTGTGGAGCGGACACGAAATATTACAGACGGACAGACTGATAGACCAGACGGAAGCAATTCCTATAGTCACTCCTCCACTACGCGGCAGGGGATTATTAAACATTTGAAAATGCGAATGATTCTGACTACATAGCAAACAGTAGATTATAATTAGCTTAGAATACAACACTATCTATCGGTGTATTGTTGTTCATTGGCAAAATAAGTTTATGTTTCTACCTTTTGTTCAAATAGATGATTCTTTGTCGTGATTATAGATATTTACTCAATAAGCAAACCCATTTAACGAGAAATATGTGTACGCTTCCCAAAACCATTTGAAATCATTTCTTTGTGGACAAATGATAACATGATTAGCTGGGCAATGTGCTAATTGAAAAGACTAGAGTGACCTTTTTACAGTTTAGAGTATAATTATCTGGATACAATAAAACGAGTAGCATCCATCATGTTGAACTTATAGATCTTTTTACAATACGATTTTCCATAGCAACGAATGTTGCATTTCGCGCATGCGCATTATGCGTAGGGCAAAACGCAATAACGATGTCTACAGTTAATCATACTTTAAGGCTTTAATAGATGCGACTTCATGTTATGTCACCCAAAAAATACTAATTTTGGGATGACTTAAGGCGTAAAGTAAATATCATGATATAGTTAATCAGTTACGCTTATTAAAATGGTAATTTATGTAACTTTTAAATATACCGATCAATGTTTATGGATTTTGAGAAGAGAAAAATTGTGTGAAGTGCATTATTAAAAATAACATGTATTACGAAAAAAGGGGATAAAATGTGTGTTCATTATATATCTTCCAAACAACCCATCTTAATTTCTAAAGATTTTGAAAAAAAATTAATTATTTAAAATCTATTTATGTAACTTAAATTTTTCTGTTTGCATCACAGGCAAATCGGATAAAGGATATAATCAGCTAGGTATATTGAACACTAAAAATGCATTATCACATGTTCTGATATTTTTTCTGAATGATAATTAATCTCGATTTCATGTTATATAATTTCTTTTGTTTTTAAATGAACTATTTCAACAGCAAATAAGTTGACTTTGCATTTGCTAATAGATATATTTCCACATCTTCTTTAAAAAAATGATCTCAGTGTCAGGTCCGTGATCGTAAATTCTTAAACAAGTATCTTTCCCATGCCTTTTTATGGCATTCTTCGCCACAAAGCTACAAAGTCATCTATTCTATATTTGTTAAAAGCTATTTAATATAATTTTCTACCGTTTACCTTGAACTAACTCGGAATTGTCTATGAACTTCTACTATATTTCTATGTAGGGCGAAGCATTTTTGCCCTACGCAGATTGCGCATGCGCAAGACAATTCTAATTCCGGTCGATTTTTCATAGCAACGGACCGCGTCGTAAAAAGGTCTATAGTAGCGTAGTTAAGTCAAAAGCAGTGCTACGGGGCTTCTGGGTTGCTTGCATTTTCTATAAATTGTCATGAATAGATTCAATAAAACCTTGTCTGCGAGTTACAACCATATGTTAACGTTTTTATAATTGCAAATGCTAATCACAAATGACATCCCCTTTTCCAGATTTTTGCCTGGTATCGTTGTATACGGAGAGTAACGAAACGCTTTTAAGAATAAAACATATAAGCGTATAAAGAAATTTATTCGAGTAGAAATAGTACAGGTTACAATAATTGTTAAACAAATATGAAATACATCTTTCTTTCTATCACAAAACATTGTAGTAATTGCATTAACGATCAAACCTTTTTTTCCCTTGGTAAATACCTGTGAATCGGTATACACCACGTATTGTTTAAACTTTTCCAAGTTAACATGTTATGGACAGAACTTTGTAATATTCATTACTTTCGCCGAAAGAGAATCATACAAAATGGAATGTTTATATACATGTAGATGCCAGGATTGTCAAGACGTTGTTTCTATAATAACGGATATATACATTGAAAGATAATGAAGTATTAAATGCAAGCGTATTAACGAGTGACATTCCTTTTTATTTTGGGCTAAGGGTGGAAATTTTTAAAAGTGAAGCTACACAAGGTGAAAGGTCAGCAAAAGAAATAACGTACTCCTTTATCAATGAACATTGATAGAATCTAACATACATTTTCAATAAATATTATCTCACAAATAATTAACAATTTTTCAATTAAAATCCTAAAACAAAATGATCGAAAATAAGAAGCAAGAGGTCAAACATTTGATTTAAGTTTCTTATGCCTCATTGCAAAATTCAATTAACACATTGTTAAAACACATATATAAAGAAACCTAAGGAAAAACAACACACTATCCAACTGAAAAGATTTTGAAAATAGATTTTAAGAATTGTGTAAATAATAAATGTAATTTAACATATTTAAAAGATAGTCTTCGAAAAAAGTGGGCTACCAAATGTTGGTGAAGAATACTGTACAAATAGGAGAAGAGGTAATGCATAGATTCTACAGTTTGAATGAGATATGTAATACCTGGTTGTAAGTTGATGATGTAAATGAATCTCTTCATTTTATTTTCCGGCACGAAAAATTCGGTTAAAAAATTCTTTATTGCAAACCGATGTGCTACTGACTACATTTGTAACTTACTGAATGCGAAAAAGAGTCCACTTTACTCTTTAATTGCATAAACTCTGCTCAAAACAAAGACTGACCGATCTGTGGTATCGAATACCATCGGTGCTTTAAGCGCTTTGATTAAGCTCTTGCTTGTGCTAATATGCTGTATATTTGAACAATCCTGGATGAGGGTGCAACTCTTTTCATGTATATCAAATGTTAAATAAGTAAGTAGTAAATATGATTTTAAGAATTGACAGGCGGAAGATTTATGTATGTTAGAAAAATACTGGAGATCGTGTATTTTTTTTAAAAATTATTTGGCCTATTTTTATCAAAACTACTACGCCATTACAACTCCCCCCCCCCCCTATAATCTTTAACATAACTTTTAATTTATCAAACAAGTTTGATTCAACATTATATTTTTGTAAACATAAAGTCTAAAGTTAATATGTACATCTATATGGGATATTCTCTTCTATCAATGAAAGACATTTTCAGAGTTTTGATTTCCGCTCTAAAGGTATATACAAGAAAAACTATTTTCTTTGTTAAGTCATTGAAGAACTTTGATAAACTGATAAGAAATGGTACCTTTTTTTTTAATGCGTTTATTTAAGGTCGCCGCCGGAAGGCCCATATGGGCGACCGTACACTCAAGTCGGGCCATCCTAGAGCGTCCCGCCGAGATTTTTTTCGTCGATTTTTTCAAGCTTTATTGGTGGAGGAAGACCCCAGGTGCCCCTCCGGGCATTATTTCAGGCACGAGCGGTCACCTGGGTAGAACCACCGACCTTCCGTTAGCCAGCTGAATGGCTTCCTCACATGAAAGATTTCGACCCGAGTGAGGATCGAACCTACAGCGGTGAGGGACCTGTGATCTCAAGTCAGCGACCTTAACCACTCGGCCACGGAGGCCCCACATAGAAATGGTACCAACTGCTCGTCATTGCATTGGTTACGTCACGCTTTGCTTCTTTAACCAATAACACCATCAGTATGAATCACGTGAGTTATGATATCACGTGGTCATTCAAAAGGAAATGGTATATCTCGAGCCTGATTTAGGTATTAAAGCACCCTATATGTATTTACATTCGTAAATGAAGAAGATTTCAAAAAAGTAGAACTTAACTGTTAACTACATTAAAACTGAAAAAATTTCAATCTTTGCAGAGGACGTTTAACTTTTAATGAATTTTCTTGGTCTTATTTTTTTTATAATTATTGAATGATATTTATGGTTTGAAAAACAATTACACCTGAGTGAATTTGTTCAAATAATGGTACTCGTCATAATACAGTCATTTCAAAAATATACAGTCATATAAAATATGATCAAATTTGAGCCACGCCATGACAAAACCAACATAATGCGCTTGCGACCAGCATGGATACAGACCAGCCTGCGCAGTCTGATCAATATCCATATTGTTCGCTATCAGTTTCTTTACTTTTTATAGGGTTTATCAGCGAACAGCATGTATACAGGCTGGTCTGAATTCATGCTGGTCGCAAACGCGTTATGTTGGTTTTGTCATGGCGTGGCTCATATAATTATTATTCTACTTCAGTTCAATGCAACATCGGCAGGACAATACGAAATGTAGGTATTTCTGGCAGTACAATATTGCTTTTAACATTACACATATTTATAAGCATAGAAATAAGGCCCCGAAGTGAGACTTCAGATCAGTACGGCCGTATTCTGTATGCGCTCAGTCGTCTCCTTGATACGCACTGTTCTCCCACTCCCATAATCCTCTGTTGCAGACATAAGTTTATATTTCATACGGGTGTTCCGTGCTCGAACATGATCGTTTTCTATTTCCGTGGTACAGCTGCTGGGGAACCAGCCCCTCTCACCGTCCCTGATTCTCTCACCCTCAAACATCCCTGAAATGTAAAAGGTGTTTGTGTGTTATTTTTGTCATTGTTGTTGTTTACCCCTGCCCCACCCCCTCTCCACCCCCGAAAAAAAAGTATGCGGCTCGGGATATATTTCCAAACAACCATTTATATAGGGCCATATAACCTTTCAAAAATAATGATATAAGGCTTAAAAGTTCTTCTATTAATCCTTCAGCTAACGGAACTGAGAGTGAACCAGTTAAAATGCTAGACCCAATTTAAAAACATCAGTGTAGTTTGACCCAACTCTACATCCTGATTCACTGATACCAGATTATTTTGATGATTGATACATTGGTAAATCATTTCTTGCATTTTGATGTTGAAATCCACTAATTTTCAAATAGACTGTTCCAAATTCAAAGCAGGTCGAATCCATGACACACTGAGCAGGTTAACACTTACCGTCCTTAAGTTTTTTGAACACATTGACAACATCTGACAGTTCCAGTGTCAATTCATCCGGTTCCTTAGCAACGTATCTTTTAACGCATCTCACTTGTGGACAGTCTATAAATAGATCAATGCATATTAGAAGCACAACAATCTCACTTGCTGACATTCCATAAATAGATCAATGCATATTAGAAGCACAACAATCTCACTTGCTGACATTCCATAAATAGATCAATGCATATTAGAAGCACAACAATCTCACTTGCTGACATTCCATAAATAGATCAATGCATATTAGAAGCACAACAATCTCACTTGCTGACATTCCATAAATAGATCAATGCATATTAGAAGCACAACAATCTCACTTGCTGACAGTCTATAAATAGATCAATGCATATTAGAAGCACAACAATCTCACTTGCTGACAGTCTATAAATAGATCCATGCATATTAGAAGCACAACAATCTCACTTGCTGACATTCCATAAATATATCAATGCATATTAGAAGCACAACAATCTAACTTGCTGACAGTCTATAAATATATCAATGCATATTAGAAGCACAACAATCTAACTTGCTGACAGTCTTTGAATAGATCAATGCATATTAGAAGCACAACAATCTCACTTGCGGCAGTCTTTAAATAGATCAATGCATATTAGAAGCACAACAATCTCACTTGCTGACAGTCTATAAATAGATCCATGCATATTAGAAGCACAACAATCTCACTTGCTGACAGTCTATAAATAGATCCATGCATATTAGAAGCACAACAATCTCACTTGCTGACATTCCATAAATATATCAATGCATATTAGAAGCACAACAATCTAACTTGCTGACAGTCTATAAATATATCAATGCATATTAGAAGCACAACAATCTAACTTGCTGACAGTCTTTGAATAGATCAATGCATATTAGAAGCACAACAATCTCACTTGCGGCAGTCTTTAAATATATCAATGCATATTAGAAGCACAACAATCTCACTTGCTGACAGTCTATGAATATATCAATGCATATTAGAAACTTGTGGGCAGTTAAGTGTATACATTAAAAGATTTAAGCACTTCTTTCCTTAAAATTACAACTTTTCAACATATGCAAAAATTTCTTTAACGCCGTAAGGAATAGGTAATATTAATTTAGAGGATAAAAATAGTAAACTCTGCCATAATTTGTATAAAACATTCAAAGACTCAATTAATATGTTTCTTTAATATTCAATCATCCGTAGGCTTGCTCCTTTAACAACTATCTGCTGTTATTTTTCATTTATTTCATTGATTGATACATTGATACGTTATTGTTATGACTGATTCACTGAAACGTTATTTTGATGATTGATACATTAAAACCTTAGTTTGATGATTGATACTTTGATATGTTATTGTTATGATTGGTACATTGATACGTTATTTTGATGATTGATACATTAAAACCTTAGTTTGATGATTGATACTTTGATATGTTATTGTTATGATTGATACATTGATACGTTATTTTGATGATTGATACTTTGATACGTTATTTTGATGATTGATACTTTGATACGTTATTTTGATAATTGATACATTGATACGTTATTTTGATGATTGGTTCATTGATACGTTATTTTGATGATTGATACTTTGAAACATTATTGTTATGATTGATACATCGATACGTTATTTTGATGATTGATACATTAATACGTTATTTTTACGATTTATATATTGATACAGAACTTGATTAACCTTTGCAATCAGTCTAGATCCAGACCCAAGGGCCCCACCCCCTCCGAACACCCCAAACCGTTTTACCAGGCTGTTTGCTGTTGGTAGTTCAATTTTATTAATGAAATCCCATAAACTTTAGACTGTGCAAATGTAAAGCAAATTCGTCTAAAATATTCATAATGTTCAAAGAAAATAATATCATTTTTCATATTGACAAGTTGACATGAAATGCAACAGATTTAAAAATGAAAACAACATAACAACAATGCAACATCTTTAATCTTGATTTGTCCTTGTCATGTTTTGTATGTATTCTTGCTAAAATCAATTACAAACAAACAAACAAACGATCATGGGATCGATTTCAATGTTAATGTAAGTAGTACCTTACCCCAGTTCTCATAAATCTGTTCATTCTCGGTCACTTTAATTGGTGTTAGAGCTTCAACCCATCTTGCCCGATCACTCCTGCAAGTATAAATAGATTAAGTAGTCCGTGATAAACCCAAAACAACAAAAACAACAACGAAAAACAACAACAACAACAAAAGCACACACAACTTGTATTAATACAAAATATTCTGGGGAGGGAAAGGCCACCAGGAACAAACGAAAATGAGGATAAATATTTGAAAGTCACGGGTTTGATTGAGTCTGTTTAATGAAACAAGCTAGGGCAGTATTTGAACTTTGAAATTTCAAGTGTTTCTATCTATAATCCCGAAGGACATTAAAATTCAACAACAATACAGTGAGTGATGAAGTACAGGGCAACATTTTACAAATGAAACACAAAACAGGGCACCTTTTTACAAATGTCACACAATACAGGGCATTTTTTTTACAAACGTAACATAATACAGGGCAACTTTTTACAAATGCCACACAATACAGGGCAAATATTTTTATAAACGTTACACAATACAGGCTAATACCTTTTTACAAATGTCACCTTTACAGGGCAATTTTTTATAAACGTAACACAGTACAGGGCAAAACATATTTTTTACAAATGTTACACAATACAATGCAAAACATTTTACAAATGTGACACAATACAGGGCAAAACTTTTTAATAACGTAACACAATACAGGGCAACTCTTTACAAATACTAAATACCTGCTGTGGACTTGCAAACTCAGTTTTACTGAATTGAATATGTTTAAATTTTAGATTAAGGAGTTATTTAGGTTGTTTCTGAATTCATGCGGTGATAGAAGATGTGTAATTTGTCGAACTGATGATACTTTGATAAACTTACTATATCCTTTAACAATGTGGAATTTGTGTAATAGATTTTCTCAGCTTTGAATTTGAAACAGCTGATTCAAAGTTTAAGGAATACGTTCCACCCACAGTATAAAGTCTGTTGGCAAAGGATTATCGCATTTGATTCCAGCGGGTTGGAGACTTGGTACAAATATATAACGATTGTCACATCTTTCAGAACGAAATGGTCTTGAATGAACTCCCTTATCAGAATTATTTTGTCCTCCCTTGATCAGAGTTATTATGATCTCCCTTTATCAGCTCCCCTTATCAGAGTTATTATGATTTCCACGTATCAGAGTTATTGTGATCTCCCGTTATCATAATTATTATAATCTCCCCTTTATCATAGTAATTACGATCTCCCCTTATCAGAGTTATTATAATCTCTCCTTATCAAAGTTATTATATATGTACGTTTGCTTATGATAATGAACACATGTTTCATTGCTTTTCAAAGATGTAGAGTAAACATATGGCGCTGAAAATAACAATGCTGATACAGTTTCATGGCCATCTATACTTGAATGTCGTCTGTCATTTTTATTATTTAAAACAACAGTGAAGTGGAAAACATAAAACATCACTCAAGGCAAAACATTGTCACAGACGTTGAATGTGTATGATGACATTTGAATCAATAATCTTCAAGGAAAAAGATACAATTAACATCATTGAACAGATTTGAAACAAGGGGAGATTTTTCACAACCGCCACACACCACTTAATACCCTTTGCAATAAGTAAATAAGTTCCAAGGGGGGGGGGGGGGTTCATTCCTCGACGGCTATAAACAATATAAGTCTATAATAACATAATAAGTCTATAGCACTTGAGAAAATACTTAATAACTGTGAATTTGTGATTTTTAGTCAAAAACGATTGCATTGTTATTTTTGTATAAAGCTTAAAGAAAAGGGTCTCTTCTCAAACAAATACTAGGACGATGTCCCACCGCTCTCTACTTATGTTCACAATGCAATAATAATCTCTCTTAGCCTGCTTAGAACGAAAAAAAGTCTTCCTTGGCAACTTGATACCTGACAAAAATATTCCGAGTACCAAAGCGCCTTGTCAGGCCAGGTTCCAAAGAACAGGATGGGTGATCATGTGACATTTATTTACGGTAACATTAGATCACCGCTCATGGCCGCGCCTATGACTTAAAAGGGATTTACTATTTTTTCGTTTTTTCGTTATATCTTTCAATATTTGAGTAACAAAAAATATACTATTATCCAGCCAAAAACGAAATAACCAAAAGGTGGCAAATACCTTTTGATTTATTCTCGCGGCCATTAGCGGTAACCCAATGTTACCTAGCCCAACAAATTGTGCGTTTTATGGCTTTTTATTATATAGACGATGGTCGTAAAGACAGACATCTATGAAATACCAGATTATAAAATCGGTCGATCTTGCAGTCGAAATATTGAGACTAAAGGTTACCTGTTACTATGAGCTTTTTGACATCGTCGGATTTTGAAAAAAATGACGACAAAGTGCAAAAATTAAGCAGACAATATTTGAAGCAGACGACAAATGCAAATGACTAATAATAACATACGCAGAATCACAGGAAAAGACGTCTTCCACTTGTTTCTTCTCACAGTTCTCCAGTGTAACCAGTAGGAATAAATTGCTGCAACCGCTCGGAACACCAAGGGGCAGTACTCGTGTATACTTATCAACACTGTCAATTTCTTCAATAAGCAGTTTGTTACGCTTAGCATAATCTATGACTTTGTAACGCTCGCTGGAAAATAGAACAAAAACACGTGGTTAAATTGGGGTAAAGCATTAAGAGTGTTAATTTTTTTAGTCAATGATATCAGAAAAAAATCTTTAATGTCTGGAATTCTTAGCGTTATTTCCGTATGTTTGTTACATGGTCACTGTAAAAGGTCATAAGGTCACTTTCCATCTTTGATTTTTGGTGTCCTTTCGTGAATATTTTTACATACAAGCGGAAACCTGAATAGAAAATCCGGTCTCTCGTAAGCTAACTGGAAAGCTTCCTCACAAGAGAGAATCCAAAGTTCCTGACAAGATTCGAACCTACAGCGGCTCGCGATCGGCTCGTCATTATGGCAACAATCATGCTGGTCACAGTGCTCGTCGTAAAACACAATTAAAACACAAGGCATTACTGTTTCGTGTATACATTTATAAAAATGGGTTAAAATAAATGTTTGTTTCATGGCTGTACTTAATGCGTTGTTAAATACATGTTTGTCTCCGGAAATAATGCATAAGTATATCAGTTAAATTTTTATAGCTATCTAAAAGTTTACTTCTAAGAATACTTTACTTGTAAACCACGTGCGTAAAGATATTTCTGCAAATTTATCAAAGTTTTGTTTACAAAATAGGATAAATAATGATTATAGAGCTATACAAATATATTGTTCTTGTAACCACTTATGTCTAGACTGTTATTATCTTAACTTTATAAATACTATAAAACTTTTCTGCCTTTCTGTTTACCTTTCACATAAGAATTAGACAATTAATAACTTAATTGTAATCACATTGTGAAAGACATTGTATGCCTAAGCCAAAAATATTTTTAATATAATTTCAATTGGCAATGGGCAAAAATCCAGATTAGTTTAACAAAAAACGCCTTAATTCTTCTCAAATTATTTATCGGACAAGAACTTTATATAAAGTTTCACAGTGACCTTGACCTCTGACCTAAATATCTCAAAATCTACAGGGGCCTTAAATTGGCCATTGGAAATGTGTCTTCTCAGTTAAACAAACTTAGGTTCATTCCTTCTAAAGTTATTGATCATACAAGTATTTTACATAAAGTGTCACTGTGACCTTTACCTTTGACCTAATGACCTCAAAAGCAACAGGGACCTTAAACTGGCCATTGGAAAATGTCTTTACGCACTTAAATAAACTTAAGTTTATTCCTTCTCAAGTTATTGATCAAACAAGGATTTTACATATAAATGTCACTGTGACCATGACCTTTGACCTAATAACCTCAAAATCAACAGGGGCTGGAAATGTCTCTACTCAGTTAAATAAACTTAGGTTTATTCCTTCTCAAGTTATTGATCATACAAGAATTTTACATATAAGTGTCACTGCGACCTTGACCTTTGACCTAATTACCTCAAAATCAATGGGGGTCATCTACTGGCATGGACAATATATCCCTTCTATATTTAATAAACTTTGGTTTACTACTTTTCAAGTTATTGATCAGATAATGATAATAGGACGTACGGACGAACGGACGAAACCATTCTAGTATTTAAAGTGGTGGGATAACAAGAAGCTTATATTCATTGTTCCATCAAATGCTCAAAATAAAACGCATTTATATAAAAAAAACAACATGATTTGCCATTGAAACCGATTTACGCACTTTTCTGGGTTATTTTGATCTAATTAATTGCAGGTTTGTTATTTTGCTCTCACATTCATGAGATTTTGAAGACAGAAATTATGTTGGTACGCCTATAATTCAAAACACTGAAGAGAAGAAATTCGGTTCCGTTCTGCCACACGTCATTAATTTCACAATTGAATGCTAGTGCACATTATATTAGGCGTAATATAAGAATAGATATTTCAGACAAAATGGATAATTACCCTTTTTTCTTTGTAATTAGCAACATGTCGGTGAATAAGAAAATATGTCGAATCTTTTTACTAGGTTTTGAGCTGCTGAAGATTTTACGATTGCCTGCCTCGTTGACAATCTTTGTAACGGTGCCCTGTTTTACCAGGAACCTTGATGTTGAGATCAATGGAATTTTTGTCATTTTCTAAAAATAGGAAGAAAAAAACCAAATAAATACAGACCAACCCCTATAGAGCAATACCCTTTGGACAACGGACAAATCTTGATTGCTGCTGCCATATTTTGTTATACAGAGGTTTTTGTCTTCATAAAGAAGTCTTACTTTGGGATATAAATATCAATGCTGCTGTGAAGTGGTGATTGGTCTATAGATGGTCGTTCTGTTGAGGTTATGCTGTAGTCCAAGTGGTATAAACTGAGTTAAAATTGAAGACGAAAAAAAATCTTTAAAAAAAAGTTGACCGATTTATTAGAAAATGAAAAATGTTTGTTATATATTATTTAGTACTGATGCAATAGTAAAAATTCTAAGAAACAAAGTGATTAGGTAACGAGGATTGTTATCACTTGAACCACTGAATTATTGGAGCCTATATGTATCTCTTATCTCAAGCAGGTGAGGTAGTTTTGACCCCTGGTGATACTTTAAGTTTGTAACTCCCGAGGTAAGCCAAAATCATCTTTTCCTGTTTCGGTGCCATATGACCTTATTTGTGTTGGTGCGCCGTAAAATCAAACAAATCAAACAAACAAACTTGATCTAACTTGATTTAAAATGAGCTGCGTCATGACAAAACCAACATAGTGCGTTTGCGACCAGCATGGATCCAGATCAGCCTGCGCATCCGCGCAGTCTGATCAGGATCCACGCTGTTCGCTTACCAACTCTATTTCATGTAGAAAAACTGATAGCGGACAGCATGGATCCTGATCAGACTGCGCGGATGCGCAGGCTGATCTGGATCCATGCTGGTCGCAAAGCCATTATGTTGGTTTTGTCGTGACGCGGCTCAAATTAATTTTACATGGATTAGGAAGTCTTACATTGAGAGGAAAGTCTATCTTTTTGTCTAGCTCGATCATCTGTTCTGTCTGTTGCATTTTTCTTACAGCATCGTCACTCTTTCTTGCAACCTGAATCATAATATCAAGTGTATTATTTTGTTTGTGATAAAATATATTCATATTGTCATTTAACAATATTATTATTTCGCTTTCTGTATGATATAGCTATTTCTTTAAATCATAACAATCGCTATTCTTATGATATCGCCATTTCTTTATAAGCAAACGCTTCCAATGTGTTATTGCTATTTATACTGCAGTATATTCAAAAGTTTCCAATGAGTTATCGCTATTTCTTTACAAATACATTCGAACGCCTCCAATTGTTATTGCTATTTCTATACAGTTATATTCACAGGTTTCCAATCCATGTTTGTTCTATTTCTTTAAACTACCAATGTGTTATTGCTATTTCTTTACAGTTATAAAAATTAAATTTTTGTCATTATTCTGAAGTTATACGACTCACTTTTGTTCTAAACAAGAATTGCCGGTAGGACAGCGTGCTCGACTTTTCTCACCGCTTGATAGTAAAACAAGAACCCTAGATAATGTAGAATTTTCTATGTTCTAAACAAACCCATAATTATGTCAAAGAGTTATGGGTCTTGGAAGTGACCTCCTATCATGCTCTCAAATAAGTTTGTGAAGTTTCAACCCATCCCCTTTAGTAGTTTTGGTGATAAGAACTTGCAAGCAAAAACTTAACCAAAGTGTGACCCGCCGTTTATGTGATTACAAAAGCTCTCCCTATTCTTCGAATAATCGGCCCAAAAATGATCGGAAAATTCAACAAAAAATATTGACAACTTACTTTATTCAAAGCTTTCATTGCACACATTGCCGATTTCTTGATGCTGCTTTTTTCATTATTTTGATTTTCATTTGCCACAAGATCTGACATCCTTTTCCGCTCGTTATCTATTTTATCTACACGTTCACATATAGCGGCTACTAGGAGCAACAGACGAGGTATTCTTTGCACGGGTAAAATGAGGAATGATGCAAATGTTAATGATTTACACGTCTCGTGCCTCTCCAATGTTGCAAGGGCATTCTGAAAATCAGGCCTTTTTCTGAAACATATGAGTACCGTATGTAGAATTGGTTATATGTTTGTCAAGAAATTTAAAATCACATGGTGGTTATTATCATATACAGCTCCTCTGAAATTTTAAACATTTAAATTACATGTTTTTTCTTGTCATCAAAGCATTCAAAATTGCATGCTGGCTTTTTACCATATACAGTTTTTTTCTGAATTATAAAATTATTGTTTTCACTTACAAAATACCAAACAACTCAATGAAAAATATATCATTGCAGTAAATATTAAATATTCCGTTTTTTAACCACCTCAAGAACTTTGTCATTTTATTGCCGTTGTCTTTGATTTTTAAGATATATCTTTAAACCTGATTGGAACTGACCAACACTTAATTGTTCATGTTTAGGAAAGATTTGTAAGCGGCCGAATAGTTCAGTCGGTACAGCCGCGGAACGATATTCCGAGGGTCGGTCACGGGTTCGAGTCCCGGCCAGACTGCACATTTTTCTTTATCTGTGACATTTGGCAGCCGGGACCGTGACTGCATATAGCTTAGAATTAATTAGCACGAGAAATTTGGGGACGAATTTCAGTTTCAGTTTCAGTTTTTATTAAACCAAGGCATATAATATGCAACTGGTTATAACAAACAAACAAACAGAAAAATAACAGTCAAAAATCACTAATATCACAATATAAAAATACAATTATGACTAGCTAAATAAACAAAAAGGAGATCATTGTTCATTTCAAGTACTGAATTCAATACAACATGTATTTTATATTGTAACAAATGGGAACGGAGAATGAGAAGTATTAGTTATCTAAATTTTAACATAATGTTTTTACAAAATAAAGATAACATAGCAGGGGAGTTTGTCACAGTTCAGAACTGAGAAGATGTGTAAGTGGCCGGATAGCTCAGTCGGTATATCCGCGGAACCATATTCCCAGGGTCACGGGTTCGAGTCCCGGTCAGGCTGCATATTTTTCTCACACAATGACAATTGCACAAGGTCTAGCATTTTTGCATACTTTAATGATCTTCTTTAAATATACACATGTAAAATTCACAATAAATTCACCCATTGACCTAGAATTGCTTAATTACCAATTACATGTACATTTTGTAATTATAATATTCGACCTAATAAGTTTTCATATCTTAATTCGATGAAAGCCATATAGGGTCGGCGCTTTGACTTAAAACCAGACAAATGACCAAGAAATTAGGCCAATTACTAATAAATCAACCGACTTGTTTCCCAGTGTTTACCAATATCTTCATCTCTCCTTGGAAAAGGATTTGCTTAACAGAACATTTTTATTATTAACCAATATTTTCTAGGTCAAGTTAACATGGTTAGTAATGTTATTGATTATTCAAATTTATAATCTATAGTTTGCTTGAAAAATGAGTCACGTGTAAAAACAAAAAGCATTATTCATGTCTGTTCGTGCATTATTGAAGATAATATGTTTGTTTCTACTAAAAGGCGCATTATCCCTCAGAAAGAAATAAATATTTACTTCTTTACGAAGGTTAAACATGAATTTTATAATGTTAAAATAATAGTTTTAGAGAATGTAAGATGCTTGTTATCTGAAGAAAGTAGTGATAAATGTGATGTATTTTGTAGCGAAAAATGTTAAATATTTTGATGATATTTTGTCATATAAGTAGCAAAATATAAACAAAGTAGTATTTTGACTTCCATACAAATACTGATTCTCTATAACTGTACATATTGCCAAAAAAAAGCAACAAATGCAAAAGATGGTTGAGGTAATTGACCAATTAGTAACATTTTGGGTACTATAAAAGTACACCAAAATTTAAAAACTTTACAGAAATTAAAAAAAAGCATTTCTGAGGTAAAATGGGCCTTTAAAATGAATTTAAAAAAGCAGAATGCATTGAAGGCATGTAAATTATTTTCTATGAAAGTAGTAAAACTTATTAAAGTAGTATATTGACTTCCATACAAAATACTTTATCACTATTAATGAACTTATATTACCAAAACAAAGAGAAGCAAAAGATAGTATGGCCAATGAAAACTTTTTTTCGAAACATATAACAAGACACTGAAAGAAGGAAAGGTATTGAGAAATGAAAAACAGCAAATTAGGGGCATAAAAGGCCTTTAAAGATATTGACCATCTTCGTTAAATGAGCAGTTTAGGTAATCCTTCCTCAAGCTTAGTGCTATATATATGGATATATATGAGGGGAGCAATGGTTGGGTGGTAGGCGTTCTGGCGTCGAATGGTTCCGGGTTCGAGCCCTATCAGGGACACTGGTTATTTCGTTGACCAAGAAATTAACTTTACCAAGGTGTAAATCTATAGATGCGGACCTGAGAGGGCGGTCTTATTTTGCGGCTTCGCTTTAGTATGGGTTGTTATTAGCGAAGTGAAATACAACCGGAAGAGATTGGTCGATTAACTGTAAAGTCGGTTCAAATGTCATGTGTATGAAACGTTAATCGACTATAAAATACATTTACTTATATGTAAGGAAAACCCGAAATCAATGTCCTGCTAAATCTGAAACCCCAACGAAAGGAAATCCCGCATTTATGTATGTAACTCACAAACGTTAAGCAAGAACAACCTACCTTAAAGTTGTAGCAATTCTATTCTGGTATTCTTGGTTGCTGCAGTAAATCACATAGCACGAGAAACTACTGTTGGCGTGTTTGGTTATAATATCACATATATCTAGCATTTTAATCGATTTCTTCCAAGATGATGTTAATTCTGACAGGAACCTGAAAATCAAACAAGTTGGCAAACATGGCGATTTTGTTGTTGGAAGTAAGATACATTTTATACATGGAAATTGCAGTGAAACCAACTATTGTTGTTAATAAAAAATTGGTTATTGCGCTTTTGCCCTACGCAGATTGCGCATGCGCGAAATGAAACATCCGTTGCTATGAAAAAATCGTAGGTCTATATATTTATGATAATGTATTATTCCACAACTTGTAACATGTTTCCTTATACTTATTATCTTTTAAATTAATTATTATTATTTAAATATAATTTACATATATTAAAGGTGGAGTGGTGGCCTAGTGGTTAAGGTGTCTGCCTCTCAACTCAGGGAACCCAGTTTTTTTGTGGTTTTAAGTCACCAAGACATTGTAAATGTCTTATGGTGATTTTCTAGCTTTACTGATGGAGGAAGACCTAAGGTGCCCCTCCATGCATTATGTCAGGAACTACCTGAGTAGAACCATCGACGCTCTGTTAGCTAACGGGATAGCCTCTTTTACAAGAAAAGATTCAAAGTCCCTAGCGGAACCCTAACGGTGAGGTCCACCTGGTTAAAAGGCGAACCTCGAACAGTTTTTATTAACGAGCAGTGATACTACCTTTCGCTTGTTTTTCGTATCTCCTCTGTATTAGAGAAGATTACGTGACGTTCCTGCTTGGAAAGCACACACTTGCCCGGCTCGTTGGAGCTGAATTCCTCCGACTTAGCAAAAACCTCATCCAACACCTTCAGACTTTTCAGATATGTTGCTTCAGATGTGATGATTTCGAACATCAACTGAAAATATCGAATTCGCATCTTTTAACATTTAAGAAAAGATATTTATTTTAACAATTTTCTGACGACCCAAACAAATAATGGTAGCGAAATTTCAGACCCTGATGTTCTTATTTGCAAATGTCGAAAGTAGTCCATACTCCTCGAAGCGGTTACTTCCCTTCATATGTACATTAACGCCGAAAATTTAAGGGGAGATCACTGCGTAAAGATTGTCAAATGACAGGCGCAATAATTTTCGTGACGAGCTTGATGACGGATATATTTCCTTAATGGGGATATCGTAATATTCTTGTATCTTAACTACTTACACAACACGTGTAGATATTTCTTCCTGCAAACATAGTCACTTTATCTACAACTCATACAATTATCATAATATATATACAGACTTATTATCATCATACGTATACGGAAGTAATGACTTGAAATTAGTCACTAAGTCATGTAGTTAAACTTCTTTTTCTTTAATGTCATTTTTGTCATTTGTTTTATTAAAGTACCCTTGATGTAAAGAAATTCAGCAAGAAGTTGATCAATAAAAAGAGGTACCTCCGTATGGCTTGAACTACTAAAATTAAAGAAAGTTTAGAGACAGATGCTATTAAAGTCTAAATTTAAATTTAAACCATATTCGAGTCTAAATCCAGCGAAGGTTACTTAAATTCACCACTGTTCAACCAACCTTGTAACATTTAAGTGTTGCTATGCTTAAAGGTTCTTCTATTTTATCTATATTCAGAATATTGTGCACAGCTTATAAAATGTCAAGGAGTGCACAGCATTACATCGACTAGTGTTCAATATCATGATATTATGTACTATGATATTGTTTTTAAGTGCACTTGAAAACAATTAGACTTTGTATAATTTTAGCTCACCTCATGAAGTTGAGTTTCATGTGATGTGATTGTCTTCAGAAGGCCACTTGACTGAACCTATAGAAGGAAAAAAAACAATTAAATTATACATGTCTGGCATAATGAAACGGAGATGAGTCATAGATGATCTATTTCCTTTACTCAATGATATCGTCTGCTTTTAAAGCAGCATTTCTCCCGGATTTATGTTAATTTTCATGACAATTTTGAAACTGTATTTAAAAGTAAAATATTGTGAAGTGAACAGAGAAAGTAACATACATTGTACACCATTGCAAACGGCATTGGCAATCACACGTAAATTGCCAAAAAGTGGTCAGAATATGCAAAATAGAAAATCACACAGTAGAAATATGGTGATAAGAACTGGAAATTGAGTCAATAATTTAACATAACATGAGTCTCGATCATTTTTACTTTTCTTTAAATCTAGTAGTACATTTCCTTAAGTCTGATATTCTTGAAATATTTTGGCCCATCTTGACGTATGTAGCTTTAAAGGTGCAGGCCCACATAAGTAAAAAATGTCCAATTCAAAGAAACAACTTTACAAACGAATTCTTATAATTAAGGAAACGTAGAAATATTCACCAACTATGAAAACCTTTGCAAAATGGCGGAATTTAACAGTTTTATCCCCATATATCTATCCTGTTTCTAACGGACAAAGGAATTTTTTTTATTTTTTACTTTTACTCTTCTGAAGTAAATTATATTTATACGTTTAAGCATTTTAAGTAAATTGTCTGGATAGTTAGTGCATGCGACTAACTTATATAACATTATGTATACAATTAACAACATTTCCTAAAATTTTAAAAAAAGCATTTATTTTTTTCTTCTAAAAATAGAACATATCTGTAGGCGTGTTGCTTTAAGTCGTATTGTTTGGAAGTATGTTAAGATATGAGCCGCGTCACGACAAAACCAACATAGTGCGTTTTGCGACCAGCATGGATTAAGACCAGCCTGCGCATCCGCGCAGTCTGATCAGGATCCATGCTGTTGGCTTACCAACTCTATTACAAGTGGAGAAACTGACAGCGAACAGCATGTATCCTGATCAGACTGCGCGAATGCACAGGCTTGTCTGAATCCATGCTGGTCGCAAACGCACTATGTTGGTTTTGTCGTGACGCGGCTCATATAACTGTTTGCCTTTTTTTTTGCTTCCTTAATCTCTAAAGAGATGTATATAATATACCATCATATCTGAATAACTTGGAGTAGTTGAAACCGACTTGACCTACTTTTATCTTTTTTTTCGAGTGTCAGTTTGTAAAAAGATTTTGTTCTCTATTTAATTTGAAATTTTGAAATTTAACATTGGTTGTTAAAGTGTCATTAATATCATAGAAATAAGCTCTAAAGTCGGTAAGAAAGACAATTTTGAAGACATATTCTATTCGTTTAACCTCATATTTTATCCTTACAATTCCACTGAGGTTCAAAAGTCTAAAAATGTAAAATTTAAATTTCTTACATTGATCGGCTGGTGAACTTAAACAGAAAGATTTGAAGATTATTTAGAAATATATCAAACAATATATTGAAAATCGTATTTTTGAGTTATTCTTAGTCCGACTTGAGTGATGGCCTAGTGGTTCAGGTGTCTGCCTCTCAATCCAGGGATCATAGGTTCGAGCCCTACTTCTACATATGACACCAGTACTGATCGATTACATGAAACAGACTCGAAAGTGATTTATATAAGTTGCAAGATTATATTTCGCAATCGAGCTTCAATAAATATGTTTAAAACCAAGCAAAGCAACATTCACCCAACGGTCACGTTCAATTTACAACATTTGGACGTTAATAACGTAAACACGTCATCTGCCAATTAGACGAATTTCTTTGCAGTAAACAAAATTATATTAATTTTCAGGCTAATGGCAGTCTTTCTTTTTTTTTTAAATAATCCAGTTCTTCCGGTATATTTTCTGGAAATACATCTTGCCAGATTGAATAATTCGAAGTTAAAAAAAAATCGAAAAGGAAATATACATGTAGATAAATATTGTAAAATATGTTAAAGGAGAAAATACATGTACTTGTACCTCTTGCATCTCAGACCATATTGGCCTTGGGCTTTTGCCGAATTTTTCCAAAGCAATTTCTACATTTTCTTCGATTACCTCTATAGTTTCCGTGGATTCTTCTGTAAAAAGAAATATTTATGACCCTTTTAGAATGACATTTTGCATTATTTCAAGTACAAAAATAAATACAGAAAAGAGGTGGTCTAGTGGTTAAGGTATCTGCCTCTGCACCAAGGGACCTCTGGTTCGATTCTTACCAAGTTTTCCCAAATTTAAACCAGTTCTGGTTGCTTCAAGGAAGCGCGTGCGAAATTAATGAATAAACATCGCAAGAACTTGTTTCATAGTCAAGCTTTAATACATGTATGTACAACCTAACAAATGAGCTTTTGATTTCAGCATATTAAGTGTTGATAAGTGAGTACCCCTCAAGCCAGTGCTAGGGGGCGTGAGGGATGTTGCACTTTTTTTCATTACCCCCCCCCCCGTTATTTTACAGACTCAGTCAAACCGAGTCTGCAATTTTCATGTAATTTTGTTGTTTGGGATCACCTTTATCAAGATTTTTAACTGAAAAAAACTATATTGCCTAGTTCGCAAGTGTTAGAAATGTGGGACGAGTGATTTGAAGTCAACGACCTTGAACTAGGGCAAATATTGATTGATGGTCACATATTCAATCAACCTGTTTCACTCTGGAAAAATAGTTATATTGAACGCTACTGTTAGGCGTGACCTACTGGTATCGATCAAATAATCATAGGTATAAATCGATTGTCGGAGCTGTCAATCGATTAGAAACGCTAAATGTACATGTACTTGTATATGTGAATGACGATGAACTGATGTGTTCCAGTTAATTTTTTTGAATAAACTTCTATTTTGTTCTGTTCTGTTCTGCTTAATTGAAGCGCAAAATAGTTCTGCATTTTAATATGCAAAACAAGATTTTGTACGATCCTGACTTATGCTTGTTTAATTCAAATCGTTGAATAAGAACATCTATTATTCGAATGCACACTTATCAGTTATCAGTTTTCTTTTTTTTGAAGGCCAAAGTGCATGTACATGAATATTTCTGTCCGATCACGCGATACAATAATATTTAACCATTTCACTGCCTTCTTGAGTACAGGGCAAACTGTACAAACATTGTGCTATAGAATCAACTTAAATTACAGATAGCAAATATTGAACCAACGAAGGTTAAATAAAAGATTACCAGACCATAATTTGTTCCTTATCTGGACCTTTATACGATGGGTAAATAAGCCAAATAAGTACTACGTGTGTAGGAGAGTTTGTATCCAGATACCATACTATATTGATCTAGTTATAAGTCAACTAAATCAGACATTTGGACATATTAGTGCAGTAACCGGTTAAGTCCTTCTAAATTTAAAAGGAGTGAAGCAGTCATTGCACTAAGGTGACGAATTTAAGTAATTTCATGATGACATTGTTATAAGTTAACATTTACTATTTCCCATATTTTTAAAACAAATTTTAAATTCATACATGCGAACTTTATGCAAAGTCCTCTGTTATTATTCTCAAAAATTATAAGTAAAACTTCATTGAACTTTGAATTAATCTACATGTACACGTGACCTCCGTGCAAGCGGTCAATTGTTGTTATTATCAATTTCTTTCTTGTTCTGATAAATAAAAACAACTTCTCTAATCTGTTGAAAAGGGGAAAAGTTGAAAGTATACATAGATAAAACAAGACATGAACAATATTGTTTAAACATGTATATACTTACCAATAAACAAAGATTCCAAGAGAGTTTTTATGTTCTCTTTTCCAAATATCAAAACAAACACCACGCAGACGATTGCCAACGTAAACAAAATAGTAAAAAAATCCATTTTCCCTCCCTTTTTCCGCTGCTATCAGAATACGTGCAAACCAATTTGTGGAACACTGTACTATTATATTTCACTTTTATTTTTTAAACTTAAACTTCATGTTTATCTGTCAAGTATAAAACGGAATCAAATTACACATGGGTTATAAATAAGCATTTCTTGCAATCCATCCGAAGTTATTATAATTGACACAGTAGCATATGTTTCTGCTTCATATCACATTAAAATAAAACACTATTTCCAGGGAAAAAACACATCACACGTTTGTTCTAATTAAAATCAACAACCATCTGTACTTCACATGTGGGTATAACTATAAGTGTCCCTTGAGAAATCGAGCGTTCTCTTCCAATGGTTTTATTGGTTAATTGCAATTTGACAGCATCGCTCTGTCTTTGGCACATATGATCTAAAAATAGAAACAATATATTCCATTCAATCAATAGAACAATGTCTTCCTTTTCTCACGAACAAAATACATGTACATCACAAAAATAACAACAGGCCACTCACTATACATTTATTAGCTCTTAACTGAATCATACAAGTGTGTATAAATATTTAGTTCCGGAAATTGTCAATAAATTCAATGTATATAGATAATAGTCCTACATATAAATATGAGGAAGAACGCTGTGTTTGCCTATATTTACTATGTGACAAAATGTTGACACAATATGAATACTTATAGCGTTATGTAGCGTTCTTTCTTTCATCGTATGCTAATTTCATATCGCAAACTCCCAAACACATCTATCGTCCTATTTATATATGGTACAATGTAATATATAATTATATCTGATGATTTCATATATTCTAAGATTTCTTTGTAGTAAAATATATCCAAATCAACGTTTTCAACGGTACAAAAAAAATATATTAATATTACATAGTGTTACTCCATCTGTAAAAAGTACTACTTATTCCCCCGTGGTATTACTATTCATCTTGGTTTATTGTAACTATGAACTCTCGCCGTAAATGACATTAAAGGCTGAATGTATATCATCGGGAAATAGATAACTTCCCTAAACTACAGTATACACAAACAACATCATCATCATCACCGCAGCAAACATAGCATATAAACAACAACATGTAAATAAAAATGACTAAAATGTTGGCTTAAATGTTACATGTTTAATGCACTTTTACAGTTTTTGACACAAATTTTCTCGTTTTAATTTACTTGTATGTCCACTGCAAACAATAAAATCGCCAATGTAAACGGTATTTATTACAGTTCTCAATACATCCCATAAACATTAACTTTTATTTATTGGCTAGGTCAATATACATATAGAAGAAGAGCGACCATGTTCAGCACATTTGATGGTTTTGAGAGTTTTTCTTCTCTTATTTAAAATGTGTATCCGTTTCAGTGAACGAGGCCATGAAATCGATTTATTAGCCCAGATAATGTTCATTTTATGTTGTAATGAGGGGGGGGGGGGGGGGGGGGACATTACAGGCAGTGAGATCAATATAATAATGTATCTATTTTCGTGGTGAAACTGAGATTTAAGGACTTATATACACGAATATTGAGACTTATATATCCTGAGAATAAAAAACTTGGTGAAAAAAATATTTTGGTAGATAAATGTGTTTTAGTTTAAGTATATACTTTACATATCAGGTTTTTATACCCATATCGTACAAAAGATACAAGCTTACATTCATTGTACATCAGCAAAAGTAAATTTTTAAATAATCACAATTGCACACAATGCAGGCAGCGCACCCTAATCCTGATTTTACTAATGATCGTCTTTCAATTGTTTTATAACTAGTAAAGCATTGTACGATAGAACAGACTTAAGTTACTTTTTCATGCGTGCGTATCATACATATTTTGTATTTAAAAGTTTCATAGATGCAATCTTAATTAAATGGCTGTGTCTAATAGATTTTTTATGAATATTTTATCCAGACTACGTAGATGCGCGATATTACATAGATAATAATCGCGCTTCTAAGTAGGACATTAATTTTAATTTAACACAAAGGAAAAAATAACCATTCAGCGGAACCAATTTTATATGTTTCTAGTATATCTACAGTTGTATATAAATCTAGTATATGAATATGACTTATGGAAGAAATTCCTTAAATTCTCGGCTTAACTAGGTTTTATCCACATTCATCCGTTACTGTATTTGAAAAGTGATAAAAATAATTTCTTACCTCTGTATATTTTGACCAACTTATATAAACTTATATCCACTTTACATTATTTGTAAAAGTATAATAGTCAGCGCGGTGCATCTATAAGGTTGTATTATTCAAACAGTTCAAAATCATTGAAGTTACCCTGGTTTTGTGAACACGTCCTTTTCCCTGTCTATCCGATCACTACATCATTGAACGCGTTCATTTAAATATTTATATCGGGTTACCCTCTTCGCATAAACTCTTGTCATACCTTGGCTTTGTATAATGCTTTATATTATCAAAACTTGCGGGAGGTGATTTATTACTGTCACCCGTACTTGATGTAACACAATCTGTGTCTAATAACATAAAGTATGTCATTTAAAAATAAAATTCAGTTTAGTTTTTTTAAGATATAAAATACATAATTATATGTCTTACGGAATGAATCATCATTATCATCATCATCATCATCGTCGTCGTCGTCGTCGTCGTCGTCTCCATCATCAGATTTGAGGGCGAACAAGTCAGTTGATATTTTTGTGATTAACGTCACACTTGACTTACGTCACGCTCAACGTATATTGAATTTATGCTTTATTGCTCATGAAAAATCTCAAGTGTCCTTTCGTTCACAAACGATACTTGAGTAGAACAAGCTTTCACACGTGAAATAATCCAAAGTCCCTGGCGGAATTCGAACTTATAGCGGTGAGGGGCAAATTATGAGAGCCTCATCCACTCAGCCAGAATTGCTTATCATATAAAAGTAATAGTTAAACAATGCAATAGCTCAGACAGTGTACACAGCTGTATTATTAATCATTAACATAACTCGTTAATCATTCTACTCCCATTAGAGATCGTTAAAAAACTTGTAAAACCGACACTATCATGGCTTTGTGTTTAATAGATTATATTTTCTCCAAAATGTGGTCCAAAATAAGTATGTCAGAGAAACCTGCTTTGATTTTAATTGTAGTCTTTAAAGTTTATAACATAAACAATTGTTAACTTTATACTGACATTTATACGGTATCTTCTTGAATAAGATAACTTTATTTCTGTTCACATTTTATTTCAAACCATTAGGCTCTATCTAAAATGTTGATCCATAAAACTTGTTTTCAACATTCTTTTTTTTTCTAAAATAGAAAAAGGGAGATAATAGAATTTACTCACTGTAGCGAATTTTTCTGTCAAACCGACGGAATGTAATTTGTGTAAATGGATTACATTGCTTTGAGAACTGTCCGTTAAAAGGGGATTAAAGGGATTTTAAAAAACAAAATACAAAAGAAAGCTACAAACAGAATAGAGCCGGGTTGGCAAGTTGGCATAGCTCTGTACCGTTGACTAAGACTACAATTACTTCCGGTTCCCGCAGGTTAGGAGATAATTTCATGTTCTGATATTGATATGTTAGTAAATGGTATAACTAAAGAAATATTCTGGTAAAATAGATTGGAAGTGTTCGCTTTATTTATAAATTTGAGAAATTTTGTTGAAACAATTTCGATTTTGCTACGTTCTTTCTTGTCAATTAACAAATAATCGTAAAACAAGTTGTTCTTTTTTTCTGTACCAAATATAGCTAAAGCAACATTATTTTAGTCATATTTCAGTCATGCCTCAATTAATGAATCCGGTTGTCAGTAAAGATACATAAATCTAAACTTTATCTCATATCTTACATCCTGTCATAAATTAATGCTGAGTCTTGTAGAAATTGTATTATCATCATTTTCCACCGTCTCACACGTTTAAACCGATTTATTCTTATAATACGATCTACTCGATTTCTAAAATAACATAGTAGAATCATAAAATAAAACAGCGATTTATCTAAAACGATAGAGAAGTATCCTAAAATGATATAATCGAACACTAAGTCAATATAGTCGAAACTTAAAAAAAAATTTATAAAGTCAAACATTAAAATGATATTGTCTTATCTTTTAAATGATAGCTGACTTAGCAGAATCATAAAATAATAAAATCGAATCCTTAAACGATAAAGCCGAATCCTTATATAATAGATAATGTGAATCTTAATGATAAAATTGAATCTTAAAATGATATAGTTGAATCCTTAAAAGAAATGGCCGAATCCTTTAATGATATACATGTAATTGAATATCAAAATGATACAGAGGAATCTTTTAAAGAAATAATTGATTGTTAGAATGATATTGTCAAATCCTTTAATTTTAAAGTCGAATTCTGAATATTTAAGTCGAATCTTTAAATTAATCATATAGTCGAATCCTTAAATGATGTAGTCGAATTTTTAACTCGTTAAATGATAATGTCGAATCCTTGAATGCTAAAGTCCAATTTTTAAATGACGAAGCCGAATTTTTAAATGACATTATTGAATCTTAAAACGATAAAGTCGTATCCTTATCTGATTAATCGGTTCCTAATATCATACAGTCGAATGTTATCATGACGAATTTAAATCCTGAAATGCTAAAGCCAAAATCTTAAATGATAAAATCGATTCATTACAAGCTATTGTCGAATCCTTAAATAGTAAAGTCGAATCTATAAATGATATAGTCGTATTTCCTTAAATGATGAAATATATTGCTTAAATATTATTATCGAACCGTTTAATAATGCAGTTGGATCCTAACATGATATAGTCGAATACTTTTATGATATTATCTTATCCTAAATGATATAATTGAATTTTTAAATGATATGTCAAATCCTTAAATGATATAGTATTATCCTTAAATGATATACTAGTAATCGGGCTTTAAATGATAAAGTCGAATCCTTAAATGATACAAGCGAATCTTAAAATGATATAGCCGGATTTTTTAACGATATAGTCGAATCATAAAATGATAAAGTTGAACCTTTAAAAGCTATGTTCGAATCCTGTAATACTAAAGTCGAATCCATAAGCCATAGAGCCGAATATTAACAGTCTTAAACGAATCAGTGTGTGATTAAGTCCAATCTTAAAATGACGAAGTTGATTCATTAAACTTTCGAATCCTTTAATATTAAAGTCGAATCCCTAAATGATATAGTCGAATCTTGAAATTATATTGTCGAACACTTAAATATAGAGTCGAATGCTAAACTGATAAAGTCGAATATTTAAATGACATAATCGAATCCTTTTATTATATATCTAATCTTAAAATGGTATCGTCGAATCTTTCAATGATACTGTTGATTCCTTAAATAATAAACATTTCGAATCCTAATCTGATATTTAGTCGAATCATTAAATGATAAAATCGGAACCTTAAATGTTATTGTCGAATCTAAAATTGATTTAAGCCGACTTCTTAAATGAAAAAGTCGAATCTTAAAATTATATAGTCGAATCCTTAAATATAGTCGAATTATAAAAGGATAGGAAAGATTTAGCCGTATTTTAAAATGATAGTGCCAAATACTAAAAATATTAACCGTATATTCGAATTCTTAAATGATAGTGTACGTCATACATTAAAATGAAAAACTAGACAGTCGAATCCATCTAAAAAGAGACAGTTTAGAGAAGACAAAACGAAAACAAAACAAAC